GATAGCATTGTTTATAAAAGAGACAATATTTTAACTCTGTGACAAGGCAAGGCAAGTTTATCTGTATAGCGCAATTCGTACACAGAGTAATTCAAAGTGCTTTACAGAATAAGAAATACGTATAAACATCATATAGCCAAATACTGAACTGCTATAATACTTGAAGAAGGAGGTTGCGGTTTTATTTGACCAGTTTTATTTATCTTATTTATTAACATGCTTGTACTTGTTTGATGTGAGACTGTAATATTTGGTGAAATTGGTATAAAAATTATTTGTTATAAACTATTACAACGATTTTGCGTTTCCATATGGTTACTGTCTGAAATATGAGTGAGTGGGAGGGGGGACATATTGTAACCATAACTTGCATGCATTGTAACTTACCCATCCATACTGACCTTAAGCGCTCTCATTGCTCCAGCAGTAATGAAGGTACAGTATAAGTACAGTGTCCTGAGGAGAAGTCAATCTAGTGTTGTCCCTAGAGCTGGCAGGGCCCCTTAAGACTCAGAAAAAGCCAGTTGGACCATGTAGGACACTGCTGTTCAAAACAAAAGCAGTTAGTTAGACCCAAACTATTTTCTCCAATTATGGGGACCCCTCCCCCGTATAATCCTGACCTCTGCTCTTTGATGGGCCCCGGCATTCCACAAGTCAGGTCAGTCCTTTGTCCCCAAGAAGTGAAGGGGAAACAAAGGTGCAGCAGATAGCAGCCTGTATTCTTCTGTTAAGGGTAAGGGCCGTTTATTAGCCACTGCTAATCAACCGACACCAGTCTTCCTAAAAATACAATCAAAGAGCCCACATTATGCTATTTTCTAATCTATGTTATAATGTTTCCTCACCAAAAATATACCCGTAGTTGTGTGTGTTTTTTTAAATTCATACATATTTACTGCACAAATCCTGCATATTTGGACTGAGTTCTTCTCTCAAATGTAAAACACTCTATTCACCTTCACTAGAATTATTTGGATAATTTCAGTTCTGCACATTCAAAAGCTCAAATCTCAAAAGGTAAAAGGTTGCTGTTCACTTGAAAACTATCACTTCATAAGGTGGAAAAGAGCATTTTGAGATTTGGAAATGTAGACAGACTAATAATAAAGGATTACTCAAACAAAAACTTTATGAATGAAACAAACAACTCCAGGTATGTTTGATGAGATAACATTATAGCATGGCTTAAAACTCACAAGAGTCAATTTTGCAGAATGCAGGACCTTTAACAACACATAAGAAAAGAACAAGAAATTACAAGCATCAAAAACAATTCTCACAGGCCTTACAGGGATTTAGCTTTTTCCTCAAAAGATTTCTTTCAACAAATGAAATTGTTTTGTGGAATATGACAATTGTGGAATACTTGCCAAATTCTTCTATGAGGGCTCCAAAAATCTAAAATCTACAAGTCAAATTAATATGAACAAATGAATCACAACTATTTTCACAGGCCTTACACGGATTTTTTTCCAAGTATCCTCGAAACATGTATTAAAAACAAAAGTACCACTTCATCTGAAAAATATGGAACTTTTTTCATATACAAATATTTCTATGAGGGCTTCAAGAATCTTAAAGGTACAGTTTAGGTGACATCTTCAGTCACAAAAATGGATCCGTCATATTCCAGTGATTATTATTATTAGTGCAGTCAGTTGAGGAAGTACTTTGTTTTTATATGTTTACGATGACACATGACATAAAAAGTCCAGACAAAATCCCACAACATTAAGGAAACATGGAGATTTCGTGAATGATACACGCTCCAAGTGGTGCATACAAAACGCTTTTATGTTTGTTTAATTAAGCGTCATCATAAACATCTAAGGTCAGCCATCTCTGAGCATTATCCTGGGGTATATTTTGACAACCATAAACGTTACTACCAGGAAGCCAAAAACACCCCATAGAAGCATGCCTTGTAATTACATTGTAAACATTATTGCACTGCTATAAATTCAGCGTATTCAACATGTGAGCTTACAGGCCACATCCAATTCCTAAAAAGCTGAACTCAACAGGGAATAAGTTCATGTTATTTTAATGTACAGTACCTGTATAAACAAATAGTGGACTGCCCGTTGCCCAACGCTAGCTATGTAAACCCATACAAACTAGCTCTAACCTCATACAAAGGACCCTTTATGTTGCTACAGTAATGCTTTCTGTGGCCTCATAAGTCTAAATGCATAAAGCAGCTTTGCAGTTCTTGCGTGTGGAAAGAGTGGTAAAAATGTGGCAGTTTTGTCACACAAAGATTACAGCTTTCACCTATCGCTGAGTAAATGTTTACTATCCTATTTGTTGCAACAGTTTGGTTCACCTCAGCCACCTATAACATACATAAAAAGAAGGTAAATAAGGACAAAGATACCTACAAAAATAGTTGGGACATGGTAAAAATGTAAATAAATTGAAAGTAGTCTTCTTATGGATGCAAGCAATGTTTATTAGATTTACATTATTCAGCATTTTCATCTGGAAGTCTTTTTGGAAGTTATTTTGAATTTATTTTTCCAGGAAATTGCACTGTAAAATATGGTGTTATTAACAGCCTAATGGACCAGATATCTTAACCAAAATGCTGTGGAACCAGTTAGATGAAAAATTTCTAGACACAGAATTGTGCTTGTTGAAACAATACTTTTTTGAAATTAGCTTTGTTTAATTTTGATGTATAGGTTTGCATGCAATATTAAGAATAACATAACATGTTTTGTGAGATTTGCTAGTACTTTATTTTATTTATTTACACTCACAGTGTCCCAACTTTTTAGGAACAGGGTTTGTACAGCAGCAGGCCACTACATGCAGCAGCTAAACACAAATAAGGAGAAAAAAGTGACAGGAAATGATCTCACAAACACCCCCCTCTCCCTCCCTCCTTCTCTCTCTCCCCCTCTATCTCCCTCCCTCCCTGCCTGACTCTCCCTCCCTGCCTCACCACCTCTCCCTCCTTCCTTCTCTCTCACTCCCTTTCCCTCCCTCCCTCCCTCCCTCCCTCTCTCTCTCTCTCTCTCTCTCTCTCTCAAGTTGCTCCCATTTTCCACTTACAGAAAACCGTGAGTAATGCCTTCTGCTGCTCTGCTAAGGATGGAGGCTGGTGTCTGCACATTAGGGCCAAAACATTGAAGATGTTTGCTTCTCTAGATCATCAATTTTCAAAAATCTATATCTATATTTAAAGAACATTAATCATTAAATTTCAGTCACATTTGTGTCAAATCAGTAAATTTGTTTAGTTTTTACCTTCTTTCCTACACCATACACTAAGCAAAAAGAAGTAAACTATTTGGTATACAACTTAAAATCTGAAATATAATTGACTTTGCATATACTTGGTGCACAAAGAAATGACTCGAACCTTAATCACCTAAAATGTAATTACAGACTTCATAATTATAAGTTCATTTTAATTCAATGTAACTAAAAACCTGTCTTGATATTCTTTCAGGCTTTTCCTCTTTGATTATTGACGTGGCAAAAATACGGTGGCCTAAGTATGTCGTAGGAGGCACATATTAGATTAAATTAGGGGTTGACGAAATAGTTGTGTCAAGATATCCACCATGGACGTGTTTGAACAAGCTGAAAGACAAAACAACGGCATGAGTGTCTAGTAACACTGTAAAACCATGCTCAATGTTGAGTCTAGCAGACACTTCAACAATTATCATAAATGGTCAATGTTTTATTAGAATGGGCGTTGAGCGGGTGTGGATAGAAAAACAGTGGCAGGTGTGGCATTTGAGGATTCTTTAGGGTTACATGAGGACTTGGGAGGTATAGTTTGGGCAATAAAGTAATCGAAAAAACTGAAAACTGGTGGTTGTTGTTGAAAGAGGGGGAAAGACGTGATCAAACTAGGGGCCCTCACAGCTGTGTTTCCTTTGGTTTAACAGTAGAATGAGTCATAAACAACAACGTTCCTCCTCAAAGTGAAAGTTTTGAAGTCAAGGCCTGTTCATGACCTGTTTTTTTTGTTTTTTTTTGTAGTAGTAGTAGCAGTAGTAGTATTTTTTATAGTAATCTTTCTAGTATTTCCTCACCTGTATAAATAGTTAGCCTCGTAATCTTGGAGATTAATGTGTGGTTTTGGAATTCATCAAGTTGTCAAATTGTTTGCGGTCTGTCTGTGGCCCATAGGCTACCAAATTGATTAATTATTGTAGATTGTCCAGAGAAGAGTCATTGCGGTAATCTTTCAAATATTATTTATATAAGTGTCAAAGATTATTTAATAAGATTACTGGAATTAAAAATTTTAATTTTACTTTTTTTATTACACCTTATTCTGGTTGTTTTGTTGTTACAATAATTTAATTGCCTATTGTGAATACGGATGCCATTTATAGACATTAATGTCAGTGTTGTAATCATTAATCCAGCCAGCCTCCGGACAAACGGGCTTTGTGTGCAGCTTCGTACAACACAATGGAAAAGTTTGCTTTCATTTTTACACTAGCAGTTACCGACACAGAGAGGTAGAAACGACAGACAGCAACTTGACTTTAGAGCACATTTTGTGAAAGTTAAATTTAGAAGGAGGTGTGGCTATGTGGCTTTCAGATCGTCACTTTGCAGTTTTTTTGCTTGTAATTTGACACCGAATCTCTTACGAGAAAGAAAGCAAACACAAAAAGATGGCGCCCAAAGATGTGATATTGTAATATTACGTTTTATATTAAGGTTTTTGTGTGTAAATATACTTACGAATAAGCTTTAACCAGCCACTATGCCTCATTGTTCAACATTTAGGGGAAAACCACACGGAAAACAGAAGTGATCAGTGATGGGGAGGAAAAAGACTTGCAGCTTGGAGTACAGCGCTTTAAAAACAATTGACCAATCCACGCAGACTTGCTCGGTGGGCGGGATTTGGCGTAACGATTGACACGCATCTTAACCAATAGCGTCTCGAGTTTGCGGAGACTGACCAATGGCGTGCCGAGTCTGCCCGCTGTATCCAACGAGAGTGCATTTTCAACGAGCTCGAGAAAAGCGGTGAGGGGCAGACATCATTTCTCTCCCAGCGTCTTTGGACTGTGTGCACAAAGCCGAAGCGCCATCAAATTTTACCATTTTCCGAAAAGGAATTTAATTATTTGGAAATTTAACAATGGCCGATGCTGCAGTTGACACGACCGCGACCACTGAGGTGACAGCCAAGGTGCGTTTCATTCACTGATTTTTGAGGGAATCGTCGTGTTAAAAGATTTTGGGAACTTTCTGAAGTAATTGGAAATCTGCAAATAATTTGGCTAGCTTCGTGTTAAGCGGTGGAATTGTTGATCAGCGGTACACCTTTTAGTATTTTATGCAAATTTGAGCCTTGATCTGTAAAAACTACTCCGTCAGCCGTGTGGAAAAAACGAAGAAATTTCTCTCTGGTTGTGTATTGCCTCGCTCCTGGTTTAATCTTGTTGAAATGTAACCGGGGGTCATTTTTACGACCTGTATTTTGCCAAATTAGTCTGGAGCCAGAGACAAAGCGGGTAATGGTATGGTAACCTACCGCTGAAGAGTGATTGTGGGCGGGAAGCAGCGGCAAGGCTAGGCGGGTTTGGATGGAGGCTTCTAGAGCGCACAATTTGTATGGAAAATGTCTAGCAAATCATCCAATTTATTTAGATTTCTTTTTATCTCACAACTACTTGTATGAGGAATAACTACTCAAGATTGTTGCCCTTCGATCTAGCATCAATTAAACCCATTTTTTTTTCTTCTTTAGGATCTGAAAGAGAAGAAAGAAGTTGAAGCGGAGAAGACGGAGACTGGTGACGCACCTGCCAATGGCACAGTGAGTGTACCCACGGCCGCCAGTGCTCGGCCCCTCTCCCCGGAGCCTCGTGGCCTTTTGTCTTTCCAGCCCTCATCATGCAGGTGTCGCTGCTGCTGCTGCCTCCTCGCCTCCCCCTTCTCTCCCCTCTCTCCTCTCCCCCGTCTCCACAATGTGCTTTGTTTGGGTTGTGAAACGGCGGCACAGATGTTACGGCTAACTAGACTTTGGATATCTCTTCATTGGGATTTTAAGACCGTGGTTTCCTACAGTACACGTTTTTATCGTCTATGGGGAAAGAGACGCATTTGGGAATTAATATGTCTAAAGAGAACCCCTAAACTTTTAAACAAAAAGGATTTCATCTTATTTTAATCTAGTAAACTGTCAACCAGTCCATGTGTAGACACATTAAAGCACCATTACCTCTTTGTTTTGCAGAACGGTGCTGACCACAGTGACAAAGTAAAGGAAACTGAGGAGGAGGAACACAAAAATGGAGAAGGTACTTTTTTAAACGCTTCTGATCTGATTTCTAATAATATTTGCAATGCCAATTTCAATGATCTGGACATTTGTACTTAGTGTTAGATTTGAAAAGAATAACTGTTCACTTTGAATTGTCTGAACATGGTGGTAAATCTTTTTTTCTCTCTTGTAGGAAATGGAGAAGAGGCGCCCCCTGCTGAGGAAACCGACGCACAGCCAGTGAAGCGTGCAGCAGAGGATGAGGAGGTTGGGCTTAACACTTTTTTTAATAGCAAGCAGGCATGCGTCATTTAATGAGAACTAGAACAGATGAAAACATACCAGTTAAGTTTTACTTTGTCATGTAATGTCAAAAGAATTGCACTTTGTATATTGTGATTATAATGATATGTAAATTAATAGATTTTAGCCTCCTGTTTCAAGGTGATATTTTGAGGACTTTTGACAAGTTATTATTAATATAAAATATTTTGTTAGTTTACTATTTATCCCATGCTCATTTTACACTTTGAAGCCTATAGATATATTGAGTCTAGAATATGTGAATAAAACCTAAAAACATGATGTATTCCGTTTGTACTGATGCAAATATATTTTTCTTGAATTTTCAGGAGAAAGAGGATACAAAAAAACAGAAGACAGAGGAGAATGGAGACTCTAAAGAGGCTGAGGTTGAGGCCTAGACTTTGTTCATGTGGCCTTATTCTACGACTTCTTGGTTTTCTGCAGCGTTCTACCAGCCTGGTCATCGTCCTATAGAGCTTGTGCTTTGTCTGAGAGAGATTTCCTTTTTTATTTTGTAGTTTTATTTCACTCCCACGCTCACACAATGCACTGGAGTCCTGAAAAACATGTAGTGGCCTAATCTCCTTTTTTATGAAATGTTATTTATTGGTCTTTAAAACAAGCTTTCTTTCTTACTTGTGCTAAAACCAGGGCCACAGCCAGAGAGCAGTTGTTTTCTTCTTAGGTTTTCTTATTAGGAGCACAGTCTCTATGTTCGCGCTGACCAGAGGATCCACATTAAATACACCGGCAGCTGCCATCCCCCTTTACGGCTCATGTTGATCTTTCATGTACAGACCAAAGATAAGTTTTAAGCAGGGGATAATATTCTTAGTTGTTTTTTTGTGTTAATCTGCTAGTAGAATCTTGCCTTGTTAACATAATAGATGAATTATGGGTCTTGTTGTGTTGACCCAATACTAGCAGGATTTCACTTTGTTCATTAACCCCTCTTAAATCTTACTGCTTTGGTGATTTGTTCTGTGTGCATTCCATGCGAGTTTGTACCATTTATATTTTGTTTTACTATGTTTTTTTGTTTCGACGAGTTTATGTTATGGCTGTGGAGCCCAGTTCTGTATCCCAGACTGCCTTTACAAAAAAGAGAAAAAAAACAGAATGACATTCGGTTACTTCAGCCACTGCTTTGTATATTCTGAAAAAATAAATTGTCTTTTTAAGTATTCCGTGTCTGGTTGCCTTTAGTATACACCCTCCTGAGGCAGTTTTAAAGAAAAGATGTCATCTGACCTAGTTTTTCTTCACTGGAAAATAAAGAAAGGGCTAATCTCAGTAATGACGAAAGGCTCTTATGACATGCACTGATTCCCAAATGTTTTGTGCTTCCATCTTGTGGAGAGTTTGAGAAACTGCAGCTACTGAAGGTGCATTCAAGGTCTTGAGTATTTGTATCAAAATGAAGGTCACAGTATTAGGTCAAATCAAGTACAAGGTGTTCTGTTCAGATTGATGGTCACTTCACGGAGAGAACAGAACATGATGAGAGACCCTACGGATTAAATGCAGCAGCTGTAAACCTCAAATTTAGAAGTCAATATACCATTTTATGAAATTGCACTGCTCCCTACCTGTGTTTTTCATCCTCGAGTCATGGTACTGGCATAGTTGAAAATATTACCAAATCACACTTTATAGAAAAAGAAAGGTATATATTGTAGAAAATGTCCTTGTTTATGCAGAACACTTGAAAGTAATACGTTATCAAATAAATTAAACTCATCTTTTTAGGTTACAAACTTGGTAAGGCCTACATTTTTTGCCAAGTAAAAATTCACTCTAGTTGATATATGCTTGTCTTAGCAATTAGTGGATCCAGTGTGTGTAAATCAGCAAAAATGCAATGAAATATATAGAATTTCATCTGTAAAGTTGGAAAAGGTGCCTTCCTTGATAGTACAAAAATGACAGGAGACAGAATAGGCAAAAGTCATTTTAACTGAGTCTTATGAAATGGTATTATACAATAACACTGCTAATATTGAGCAATAATAAGTGATACAATTAGAACACATTTTAACTAAGCAAGCTGCAACAGCATGATCCGTACAGTCACAGTTTCCTCAGAAACATGAGCAGCTTGTGCACCCAAGTGCTCCGAAAGGCTTCAAATCCATTTAGGCAATTATCGACATTCGGCTGATGCAGCAATTATCATAAATAGTATTCCAGTCCCAACCAGTAGAGGTCGCTCACAAAATACAAAATTATTCTCTGTTCAAGCCCTGACAAAGAAAGTCAGATTTTTTTTACTGAATTAGCACAACAAATCTGATAAAGAAAATATAAAAATAAATCTGTAAACTGAGCGTTGTTTTGGAGAAGCCGACTACTTGCATGCGCCCTGATGATGACCGAAAATATGTGCTGGCTGTTTTGAAACCCCCACAGTTTTGTAGCTGTCCATAGTTCGCACCAGCCGTCTCGTCTTCTTGTGTTTTGAACGCTGAATCAGACCCCAGTTTCAACTTCTCCTCTTCCTGATAATGACAAGAATGACTGTGATTACAAATGTACGCCAGCAGGGGGCAGGTGATAACGCACAGGGCTTTCCAAGGCTGAAGTGAGGGCCCAGGCTGAATGTGCCACCACCAGTGTTTCTATGTGTTGTGGATTAAACTTAGGTTATAATGTAGACAGCTTCCCTTGTTAAGTTTGCATTTGAATTTTGAAAGCCAAATGTACATCAACCAGGTATAACATGATTATAGTTGAGGTGGGTAGTTTTACAAGATATCTCTTGTAATAGTAAAAAAGTATTTAAAACTACTTGTGTTGAGTCACTTTTTTGTGTTGTAACAAACGTTTTAGGAATGATTTAAAAAAGAAAATTACAGGACACAGTAAGAAGGCATGTTTGTATCTTTCTAGCCATTAACATTTGTGATTGCATACAAGAATGCAATATAGATTAGTTTAATGCCAGACTGTGGACACTTCCATGCATAGCATATCTCCATGGAGACAAGCATGTGATGGGCCCCTCACTAGAAAAGTTATATAGTGCACCTTTAAACAAGCAGACAAAAGACAGACAAAATTATGGAGGACTTTGAATTCATCTACTATTCATCTAATATCTTTTGGTAAGGTAGGCCAAGCTTCAAATCTTCACATAATTTAAATGTAAAGCTTTTATTACTTGGGCTACTCATCATGGGAAATATGCCTCAACCTTTATTCAAGTAAGAGGACTGCTAATAATTAACTTATATGTTAATTATATAATTAGAATTATATAATGAGTGAAACAGCCTACAACTATAATTTCTTCAAAAGTAAGAAAATGTAACTCAATGTAACTACTACCCACCTCTGATTAGACAATATCATGTTATGCCTGATCAATGGATATCTCCAAAAGAACTAGACCATTGGGTGGATATAGTTGGAGTTGAGAGTATAGTTATGTTTTACGTTAGCCTGTGTGCAGTGCAAATCAAAATGACTGCTAGCCGGATCATAGTTTGAAATCAAATAGGCTATGCTTTTGCCAATCTTACTAATCCGCTAACTCAGTGAAACAGGCAGCTAGACATTACTTTGGCCACATGACCAAAACAAAACAAACTGCTTACATTACAACTTCATGCATATACATGTACGTATGTGACTATGGATGGTGAGTTCAAACAAGCAAGATCAAATTATGGCAAAAATTGAACAACTTAAACTTCTTTTCTCACACACACCCTCGTATACTTCAGAGGGCTATTCCATAATACAAGTCAGTGGGACAAATCAAGTTTACTGATTATCATTATCTTTATGTAATGGCATATATGGATTTAGCAAGTATATGGATTGAATTTTTATTTATTTATTTTTTATTTTTTGTTTTTCTAAAATACAATAAAATGAATGATGAACACTTTAGTTTAGGGGCCACATATTAATAGCTAGCTAATAGTAAAATGCATAATAAGTGCCTGATTACATCTTTGTTAGTATTTAAAAAGTACTTTCAGTGCATTTTTGTCTAAAGCTGTATTTTGCAAATATTAAGTCATGAACTATTTTCTTCCCATTACAGTAGTGGAGATCACAATCTGTTCATACAATGAAATATTAATAAGCATTAATAAGCGTTTGATAAATACCAACTAATAGCTAAGTATCTAATATCTAATTAGCATACCAACTGGCACATAGTGATTATATGTGGTCCCTAAAGTAAGTGCCAAAAAATGTATTCTACTAAATATTATATGGAGACAGTAAGGGAATATTTCACAATGCTTTACTGATGCCTTTTCTCAACAATATGCTTTAGAACTGCTACAGCACAAAGATTTGAGTATTTTACCCTCTGACATCACCTCTAATAGACCATCATACTTTTCTGAGCGAGTTTATGGAATAGCCCTAATCTCCATTCACGTCTACACAGTCGGGTAAATGAAGGGCTCACACACTGTAAGAACACACTGGAGACACAGAGCAGCGGCCAATGTCTGTCTGTCTGTCCTGCTCCGAGGAGAGCCTTGTCATTTGGTGAATTTGAACTTTTACTATTACTACCGTGCTGTACAGTGTGCGGCAGGATGTACGGCGTGTCAGTGCTATCTATGTGACGTGAGTGTCTTTAAAACTACTTAGCGATGCGTTTGCTAAATGTGCACCAACAGTGGCTGGGTCTCGCTGTCGGGGGGCTCACCCTCAGGGGGGGGCAGCTGGTACACCACGCAGAGGGAGGAGTACACGCAGCCCACGAACGACATCAGGCTGGAAAAGTACATGACGCCCTGAGCCCCGCCCACCAGTGAGGTCAGTGGGCCCATGGCCACAGACACCAGGATCTGAGCCAGGAAGTACTGACAGCTCAGCAACGAGATGTCCACCCCCATCCCACGCCTCGTGCCCTCCTCCGACGAGCCGCAAAACTGTCACAGAAAGGAGGAAGAGAGATGTAATACTGTGTTTTTCTCCCACAAATAACAATGTAAGTCATTGTGAATGAGGCTCAGAGGCTTAAGGTAAAAGGTAACATTCGCCACTTTACAGGAGAGGTCGCCTTTAAGTTCTAACTAGAAAAAATTGTGACTCCCAGTAAAAAGAGAATGGAAGACACCCATAACCCTGCACTGGTCAGCACTATATCGTTAACTTGCTTCAAAAGGAATGAAATGGTTTGGATGTTTGATTTACTTGTTGTTGTTCTGTGAAGCAGCACAAAGTATGACACCTTTAAGAGGCTTGTGTATGTCAGCACAATAAAAACTGCTCTAATGGCAGTACTGCCACACCATTAGTTCACCAGTGGTGCCTGATGAAGCAAATCAGCTTAAGTCTGACAGGATGGAGCTCAGTGCTCAGGCAAAGATGACACACACAAACATTTTTGGCTTTACCTCTTCATGTAAATTTGAATGGTGCAATAAATTATAGTATATGCAACATACAGTATTTAAACCTGAAATTTCCTTTATTGTGAGAGTGGGATAAATAAAGGTTATCTGAAAGGATAATTATGAGTTCGTGAAACATTATCAAATTCTGAACAATAAGCAATGGATATAACCAATGATAGTGATAGTGTTTTTTCAGGTGTACTGACCTGAGGGCTCTGGTAGTACTCGCAGAGCAGAGAGTAAGGCAGCGTGCATAGAGAGGAGAAGAGCACTCCATAGGTGACGCACAGGGACAGCACCACGTACAGATTATTGGAAAGAGTGGCCAGGCCCGTGCCCAACCCGAATGCCAGGTAGGCAAAGAAGTACAGAGTGCGCAGAGAAAACCGCTCCTCCAGCTTCTCCAATATGGCTGCAAGGATGAAAAAGGCAAACATAAAATAAAAAAAATCTTAATCTGTTGTCAAAAGCTATATACATCCTTCAGGCACAACTGGCAACAAATAATAATTTACACCCTGTGATGCTGGTGAAAGCTGGTTCTTCAGACCAGCTTTCACGTCCCATGTGCAGAGTAAAGAAATAATGTGCCACTGTTAAGGGCTTGTAAAATGAATTACCATATGCTTTTTAATATATTATTTGTATGGCTTGATCCTAAACTTCTGGATCACCAACCACAGTGGCTAGTCCTTTTAGGAAACTTAACAGTCATGTAATGGTTTAAATAGCCACAATAAAGTAACTTGTAAAAGGTTTATGTAATTGTCTAAAGCAATATAAATTTTGGTTGGTAGGTAAGGGATCTATGAAGTTGTCCATAAAAGTGATTTAAAAAGTCTGCATAATGAATTTCCTTCGACAGCAGTCATAACATCATCATTAATTGTTATACACTTTACCTGAGTAGAAAGCAGCACTGAATGCATAGATGCACATGCCCCAGCAGCCCATACTGACTCCGGCGTTGTAGCGCTGGTACTCCTCTGAGTCATGAGGGGCTTTAGGGTCTCCCTCAAACACCACCTCCCCCATGAAGTCAGTGTAAAAGAGCAGCATGCCCTCAAAGGACAGCCAGCCTGCACATAGAGTGGATATACTTCATAATAGGAATGGGACAAGATTTCATGCCGTTTTTCCTCATGTTTTTATTTTTCCTTGGATAAAAAAGGGTTAATTCTCCTACTCCTCTAGAGAAATTGTAATACTGAAAAGCAATGGTACAATGACAGCAAAACCTATAAAATTAGATAAATAAAAAAATGTGAAACCAAAATTGTGAACTGAATGGCACAATTTATTTATTAAAAATTTTATCAAAATCTCATCTTGTCTCATTTTCGTGGACCAAATTTCTGTCTTTTGTGTCTTGTCCAAGCCCTACTTCATAAGAAATGCACAGATACTGTTTGAATTTAGGGTGAATCCTTTAGTTTGGAAATAAGGTTTGTACTACTTTTGATTTTCACTTTGTGCTACATTTATACTATTATTTCTTATTACATAAAACTGCACTGTATTGTATATAATGTATGGATTTGGGTGATCAATATTCTTAGGAGGGACTAGATATACCAAGTCCACTGGCCGGCCAATGGATGTCTTAACATAATAACAAATGTTGCATTTTGTTGGCATATACACCACATGAAAATGTTACTATAATTGCAACATTACAGTCATATGAGAGTGAATGTTGGTTCCTATTTCTCACATGGTCGCATATGTTCTTGAATTATTAGGATTTGTAAACCACATTGTCAGTTATCGATGTAGTACTGTAATTGCTGAAACCTATTTAGAATATACTGTAGCTTTACAACCCTGAAAAATAACAAATAAAAAGCATATTACCCAGAAAATGATTAGTGCATAAACTTCGTAGAGAAGGAGGCATTCGGTAGATGGCTATACACAGCAGCTTCATGGACATTTGGGATTCTCCTGTCTCCACATTCTCACTGAGGTCACTTTCATAACGCACTCCATTCAGCAAAATATTGGCAACCTACAAAAGAAAACAAAATGAATGAACTTCGTCAAATTCGTTCCTCAAGACTGACGTTTCAGACTTTTCGCACAAATTTGTTTTTCCAGGTGATACTGGAAAAACCCAAGTCTATTCACAGTTAAACTACTGGGGGTGCCTGGCCTGGTTTGGTCCTGGTCTAGTCCACCCTAAATCTTGAAAATGTGTATACTAGAAGGATCCTACTATACTAGAGCTGTACTAGATACTAGACCACCAGAATTGCCCTGACAAGTAGAATAACACAGAAACAGGAGGTAATGCAAGAATAACATAAGCCTGAATTATAAGATGTAGGAACACAGGGCAGAACAAGGAATAAAAGAAAGAAAAATTTACCCTTTGCATTCATCATGACTGACAAAACTGTACAGAGTAGTCAAAACTGATACAAAGGTGAGGATTCAGTCAATGAAAAAAGCAAGATTAAAAGGGACACTATGTAACTTGTCTGGTGGAGGGGCCACCACCTCTGTTATTACTTTGCCTACGATTGTTCCACAGTATGGCATTAAATTGTTCTTGTGTGGATTAATTTACTTGTGTTTTTATTACTCAGAAAAATATTGAAAATATGCATTGTTGCTGTGAGTGGAGTCATCTCTCCACAAATCTGACCTATAGGTTGGTGGTGTCATTGGCTTGTTTTGATGGAGGTAGCTATGCTTATTGCCATAGTACTGTGGAACATTCCAGGTAAAGCAATTACATTTTCATGGACACAAGCAGGTGGCAGATCCTCTACCAGAAAACCTACAGAGTGCACCTTTAAACTAAATTATGTGCAGTATGATACATGCTTAATTATACAATCTGTTTAGTAAATCATTTGATAGATTCTTGGCGGTGCGGACCTGTTGGCTGAAGGTGACAGTCCTCCTCCTCCCGTTCTCCAGCCCCACAGTCTGAGTGGCACATGGCTCCTCTATCAAAGCCAGGCTTTGGGGTCTCTTCAGGATGGACCCCCTATGCCCTCCCACCCCACCTGGTGGTCCTGTCCCATCTGAGACCACCGCTCCCCCATCACCCTGCACCCCTTCTGACTCCTGTGCTTCTACAGCGGGTGCAATGTCCTCCGCCCCCTGCCCTATAGGTGCTCCTTCTGTCTGCTGTGTGGACTGGACAGGCTGAGGAGTGCCCCCTGGTGGCAGCGGCACAGTAGTGCAGTTTGGCTCAGGATTTTGAGGTGTCTGCTGTCCAATGTAGCAGTCTATTAGCACTCTATCTATGTAAGAAGTCCCCAAAGATGACGCAAATTCATTTATACCAGTTAGTGAGCCGTCTCTGCTAATGAAACTGCCATATTTAGGAGTGAGCGGACTCAGAGGTGAAATTGGACTAGTGAGGCCAGCACAGAGGCGGGCATTGGCACTGCAGCTATGAGCCAAAGGATCAGAATTATGGGAATTTGAGAAGTTATAGCTATATAGGCCATCTTCTTCCTCTTCTTCAAATCCAGGGGCGGCTCCAGGTGGGACGGGGGGAGAGAGTGGTAGAGGAAGGCTGGGGCTTTTTAAATGGTTTTTACTGGAGGTTTTGTTGGCATGGGTCTTTGGTAGGGGGCGCTCTGGTATGCTGATTAGGGTCATGGTCGTAGCAAACACAAGGGTGATGCTGGTGAACAGATAGATGACACGCAGCTGACCACCCATCGACTTCCCAAACTGTGTCTGGTCCCAGTTGATGCCGCCCACAATGTAGCCGAATCCACCTCCAAGACCTGAAGGAATGACAGTAATGAAAGACAGTCATAATTAGAATGACTTTACTATTAGTATGTTGTTGCTATTTATTTTATCTGATTTACAAGGCTAATTGAATTAATTTAAAGTTGACTCATATTCAGTAAAAAGGGAATTTAGAAAATGTAGTAGTGTAGGGTCTACACATGAAAAAAGATATTTGGTTCTAAAATAAATTATAGTAAAATATGAGCCTAAATGGTGCAGTATGTCACTTTTCAGATACAGGTTACCTGCTTGCCACTATGGATATTCTATTGCTCCACAGTAAGGCATTAAATGTATCTATCTCTAGATGAAGATGAATCAGTGACAATACCCTCCATGTGGAAAGTTGCATAGTACACCTTTAATACAGTAGGTGCCAATTATATATATTTTAGTACCTGCTAGTAGTGCATGTATATTGAGCCCTCGGTCCTGGTCTTCTGGGCTGCACACATCCATCATGTAGGCGTGGCTCGGGTTATCTGCCGAGTCTGCACTAAAGTCCATCAGGACCACTCCACACACCGTCAGAATGATCCCCCATTTATGGTTCAGCGCCGTGTCAGCCAGAAGACCCCCAATGTCCCGCCCATTCAGCACCAGAGTGAGGCCCACCAGCGCACCTGCAACAGACGGCCCAGTGTATCTCTTCATTTATCACAGCCATTCCCAGTCTTGCATCACAGTTCCTTTGCTGACCATCAAAAAATCACACACAACTCCCAAGAAAAATTATCAGATTCAATGTAGCCACTGTGCATTCACTCCCTTGTTCCACATATTTTCTTTGAATAAGGTAAATTTTTTGTGCATTGTTCCTAATCAAATAAATACATTAAAATTAAAATACTGAAAAGACCATTTTCTTAATTACTTTCTATAAAAAATACACTTTGTGAATCTCTGAAAAAACAAATATGTAAAGAAGACTATGGAAAAAAAGTAGGAAGTATAAAAACAAGCTTTTATGTAAAGAAAGTACATTCGCAAACAGCAGGTATAAAATTTCAGTCAGAGCTTTCAAGTGGACATAAAGGGGATTAGGAGGATATCAGGTTACATAATGGCATTGTTATAACATATACTGTCCCTCCTGTATCTCTTTCTTTGCTTGAGGAAAAGTATAATGGGTTAATCTGCACCATGAGCACATGGTTCAAAAATGTCTTTTGGGAGTTAAATGATACTGTATATAGAGAAATATAGGTGAGTGTCGTGACACCATTGCTCACCAACATTCATTTCACACAGGCTATTTAAAGCCCCTAATATAAATTACTTATAGTATAAATGTCCTGTCTTTAGCCATTGAAAGGAAGATGTAGGAGTACTGAGGCTAGGCAGCAATCATATGAACCTAAGACCTGCAACATAGGGCTGGGCAATTTGCCTGAAAATATAAATAGATAGATATAGATTTAGAAAAATAGACAGACAGACAGACAGACAGACAGATAGATAGATAGATAGATAGATAGATAGATAGATATGCATGTGTCCACAATTTCATGCATGTGAGCAAGAGCAATGTACCAAAGGGTTTGTGAGAGCTAGAAATGCTTCAAAATGCTTCTTCAGTTTGCAGTTTCAAAATTAGGCCATGCAGCGTTAAGACAACTAACATGATGTCCCATTTCACCAAGTGTCTGCATTTTTCTTTGTCTTTATTCTCCCTCTAGGGACCCCCAGTGTGATCTCAGCATCCTTACATATTATTCACTGTTCACAATTTCTCTTCTGTCAACACCATCTCAGTCTGGCCTTATTTTCACTTTTACATCATTTCACCTGCAAATGTACCAGTCTTACCTATGGCAAGAGCAAAAATAAATGGTCTTCTTCGCCCAAAACGAGATGTACACCGATCACTCCAGGCTCCTATGAGAGGCTGAACCAGAAAACCTTCACAAAAACACAAACAACAATGATTACAATATCAAATGACAAAGGGCTTATCAAGGCATTGAGATAACATGGCATTCCAAAATCTTGTCATTCTGTTAACCTCTGTTATGTGTCACCACAATAACACAACAGATATATTATAAATAATATTAAAAACATTTAATAAAACCACATAATTTGTATATCCATATATTTCAATTGTTAAAGGACCCATATTACGCTGATTCTGATATATGTTATAATGTTGTTTCCTTATCACAGACATATCTGGAGTAGGGTTTTGTGTCATTTACATGTGTTTAACCACACAAACCCTGCATATTTAGGCTGAGTTCTTCTCTCAAACAGAAAACACGCAGCACATTGGATAATTTCGGCCCTGGAATCGGCAGTCTCTACTGGATAATAAAAGGTAAAAGATACATTGTTACAGAAGCCATTTTGAGAACTTTTAACCATTCAAGAGAGAAAATAGTAAATTCCTTAACATGTCACTTAACACAATAATAGTCAAATTTGTTCCTCCAAAGTCTGAACTCCAAAATCACATACTTTTACTAACAGAGGATCGGCTATAAACCTCTACATTAAAAAGCTTTTATTTGATTTTACTGGTAATATTGTTTTAGGACTGGTATGATTCAGTTTTTAGTAGTTTACCTTAAGTTGTCTTAATTTTATGTTTTCTGTGCTTTGGTGCTTTGGAAACGGCTATGTTTGTAAAATGTGCTATATAAATGAAGTGGATTTGGATTTTGGATTAAAAAGGTCCCAGTTGATCATTGACTATTTGAAATGACTGAATCTCTATCTTCATAAAAATTTGCCCAGCCCGAAATAACCATAACATTTGAATATCCTCAAAACCCTTCTGTCCACCCTCACCAAGAATGGGGCTGATGAACCACACCAGGCTGTAGAACTGATCGGGCAAGCCCATCTGCAGCAGCACGGGAGTGACATAGGCTGTCTCCATGGCATAACTGAACTCTATCCCAAACAGGATGCACCCGTTGAAGAGCAGCTCCTGGAAAGTGCGTCGGGGGGGCAGGTCGTTGAGGTCGAGCTGGTCCAGGGGGCAGGGGGGTGTTGGGTGGGGGCGGAGGAGAGGGCCGTATGAGCTTCTGCCGTTTGGGTTGTCTTTGGAAGTTGTTGGCGCGGTGGCTGAGCGGGCGCGTGGTGGAAGTGGGGAAACTGGCTGTTTTGGGGAGTGAGCACCTCCACAGACCGTCCTGAGCTGAGGAAAGCCTCCCTCCAGGACTGGCCTGTAACAGAGGGTCAGTGGGTGTACCCATGCCTGGAGATGACATCGCTCTACGGACACAGACAAGAACAAGAGATTACATACCCATTCTGCACATTAACTACACTAAAGTAGTCAACATAGAAGGGAGATCTCCTAAAACATGTATTATATTACCAGATAAGACAACCTGAACGCTAATTAACCATGAAAGACAGAAGACAAGGCTGAACCAAACTACTACTGTGAAGACCTATCACTCACACACACACCACATTCATACTAGGCAAGGTGGGTCAGGTGTCTTGCTTAAGAACACAACAACCACTAACGACTGAACCACTATCACCCAACAAAATAAAACACTAAAACAAGATAAGAATCACTGAATAAAAGAAATAATAATAAAAATAACTGATGACATAGCTATTGAACAATAATTGAAGGCCAAATCTTAATTAAATCGCCTAGAATGAAAGAATACAGGCTACTTTACAAGGTTGATCAAATCTAAACATGGAAAGACGTGACTGAACTTAAGTGAGACTACTAGTACAGCACTACCATGTCTAAACAGGGACTGCACAAGGACTCAGCACTTTTTATCAAATCCTCTTTATATTCTTTATGATATCTGTGTCCTCTTGAAAATAATCAGGCTACTATCAATCATTTCCAATGCATTACAAAAACTGAACCGAGGATGAGCGGTTAATTTGACAGGACGTATTTCAAAGGTCACCAGTGGAGACGCAGTGAGGTGTGAGAGGCTGCTGCTGCTGCTGCGCTCTCCGGAGGACACTGCAGTCTTCATACACCGCTGTGATGAAGAGGAGCACGAGCACGACGTAGGTAGCGCCCTCTGCAGCCAATGCGCAAGTGGCGTAGTGCGCAGCGGCCATGTGCTCACTCGGCGTGGCTTGTATCTGCCGCAGCGCTCCCGACACTGTTTCCATTTTAAATATTTTATGGAGGAAGCGTCGATGTGCCACAAAGGAGTCTCCGGGTAGTCTAGCAATGCCATTGTTACCCCCAAATATCCAATGGTGTTTCAGTGTATTGCTATATCGGATGAACTAGCTAATTTGATGGCTGCTCTTTACGTGGGGATGCACTAAGCTAAGCCCCTTTATGCTAGTGTCGCTTTTCAACGTGACATGTCATTTTTTAGACGTGAAGACGAGATCGAGCAAACTGGTGGAACACGGATGGAGCAGGCGGCGTGCACAATGCAAAAGGAAGGAGAAAGATGGTCGTATATTTACCTTGTCGGGGCGGCTCGTCATTTATTGCAGCATGTTACTGTGTGAATGGTCACACCAAGGTTTATGTTTTACAGGAATCGGAGGATGAATTAGACGAGTCATGATTGTTTTGTGTTGCCTTTGATGCAGTCATCCCCCGCGCGCCCTCTCTCCTCTGTCCGCGCGCGTCCCTCTTCCTCTGCTCCGGCGTGACGTCACACTCCACCCTGCGCAGCATCAGCACCACAGCATCAGCTTGAATTATTAAAACCGTCAAAAGTAATTTCACTTTTAACACTCATCTATGTAACTCTATGTATACTCAACGTGTAAATAGTGCCATTGGTCTTCTTCAGTAAGGGTATAACTTGGTTTGTGTTACCACTGTTTAATATTAGAAAAAAATATATATAAATACTGAGAAGGTTGCTGGCAGAAAACGCACTGATGTGTGTACGCTGAGAAGTGCGGCATTTGAAGAAACATCTAAGCTGTTTTAAAGGAACAAACATAGGGTGCTAACATTTAAATTGAAATGCATCTAAAAGCAATTTGAGAACTGAATGGATCAGGATTAGTTGAGTGATGGTGAATGAACATTGAATAACCACCTAAAATGTGGCCAGGGTTAACAAGGTATTTTCAGATCTAGAGGAGAGGGCAACAGGAGGAAAATAACTGTCTAACACTCAATAAAGTGTTGTTTATTGTATTGATGAATAATACGGGACCTTTAATGTAGCCTAGATTGCATTGTCTATTATTCAACTGAGCAAACAGAGAACAGGAAATGATGTAGCCTGATTTGAATAATTGCTGTTTGTTTGTGAGGCAGTTGCCATAAGCGTGATAAGGTAATGTAAGGTATATTTTATTGATCCCTTGTGAAGGAAATTAATTCTCTGAATTTGGCTCATCCTTCAACAAGTGTCTCTGGGGCAACCTGTCAGGGGCAGTGACCTACTGCCAGTGCTTGGGGACCTATCTCCATGATCTTGAGCTAGGCTTGGTCAGGACTACCTTAGCTGGAGCATGGCATGTTATCCATAAGTGACCAAAGTCCCGTGTGTACCCTCTGGCCCACAGTGATACAATCCCACATACCCAAAGGTACGAGCATATATCTAGGGCCTAGCGCTGTATTACATCCTTCATCATTTGAGACAGGCTAAATAACCATTCTTCCTCCACTGGCCTATACAAACAATGCTTAATATTCCCTTATAGACTCATTCAATGATGAATGAAACATGTTTTGCTGTTTTATCATTGAAATCCTTTCAATAATCAATATTGAAGTTATCTTTTTCAGATATCAAAGTAGTTAAAACATACTGTATGTGACACACCTGACAAATATTGGTTAGAGATTTAGATTTGCTGTAATGGAAAGACAGGCAACCATATAATGGAGCCCAACCCACCACAATAAATTACGACCTAACAGCTCACCTCATGTAACCTCTCAACTAGCAGGTCATATAAAATAAATACTACTTCTTCTATTTTAAAGGCTATTGTTTCTCTTTCTAAAATAGGCTAGTACACCTATATTGTTTGTTAATTAATGCAGAATTCGGTAATTAAATTTAACAATGGAGATTTTATTTTATTTTTTTTACCTGCACGTGCTAAAAGTTACAAAATCTTATTCCCGCCTCTTATATGAATACAGCTCAATGATTGGTTGGTCACTGAGGAGTACTGCAATGCGATTGGTGCGTCACGTTTAGTGGGCGTATGCGGATGTAGCTGTTTTGCAACTGTTGCAGGGGCGTGTTTTTTTTTTTTTACTAATTTATCAGCACATTTCTGGCTTTTTACCCTATAGATTTTTATTGTAGACAACATCAGAGCTTTACCATAGTTACCGCATTTTTGTGCTTGCTAAAATGGCTAACATTGACCTCGCAGCGATTGGAAATAACACTTTGAAGAGCGAGACGGGGGAGGTAATGGTATAATTGTTTTCTATCTACTGGCAATTTAGCTGCCAATTTTATATTATCAAAACAAAATACCGGGTTAATTATTTATATCTATTCATAGGGGCCTTGTTAAAGTCTATAGGGAAAAGTGATATTCCAACCCTGCTGATAATAATTGCATAAATAGCCCATTAACTTATGCAAGTGGTATAACTACTGTGCTTTGACAGCGTAATTGTCATAAGGACATTTAGCAGCTTGAGGCAAATTAGACCATTATGCCATTTCTCGGATTTCTTTTATCTGCTAAATTCTTTAAATTATTTCACACATCCAAAAGCTTTGAAAACAAGAAACAAGACCACTCTGTACAGAATTTGAAATGTTAAGTGTAATCTTGTAATAATTCAAATATTGCACGTGCTGAGCCCTTTATGTGAAAAAAAAAAGAAAAGAATGTTTGCATACAGTATCTCTCATATGCCACCATATGGAACCAGGCTGAAGAATTGAGTTTAAGGTCTTCCAGGGTAAAGTCCACAAGCTTATCTAAGTTTTATGAGCATGCATACAGTTTATTGTTATAAGATTTTACTTATAGTTGTTCTGTCCTACATGTAATGTGATTTTGGTCATTTTGTAATACATACATTAATGTATATAGCCTACTGTCTAGATATAATTAATTGGATATATGAACAAGATTTGGGCTGTAAGATATGGCTAAGGTCAGGCTGGAGTCAGAGGCCAAGTAAGGTCAAGTTGAATGATCTTTATTTTAAAATTAATGCTATCAAACCAAACAGTTAAGGGAAAAAATCTTAAATGTTGATCTAAAATTAGAATTATTGTTATTGGAAGAGATGTATTTATTAAATTAGGGTTCACTTGAAAGAACACTCATTGAGTCAAACTGAAATAGTAATGATAAAATAATCGGGTTCTAAATTGTATGATACATGGTCCAGTAAAGACCAAATCATTTGTTCCTTAATGCCAAATAGCAAAAACTCTTATTGCAATCTTGATTTGACATTGATTAATTAAGTTATGTTATACACTCCTTATGTACTTTAATTGCATTGTTGTGATTGTTATATGTGATTAATATTTTCTGTTCCATTCCAATTTAATAAGCCATTTGTCGCTGTGTGTTACCATTTTTGCAGACTGTGGAGCTGAAGTCTCTATGGAAGGACCAACCAGTGGTGCTGTTCTTCCTGCGCAGGTTCGGTTGCCAGATTTGCCGGTGGATGGCGTCAGAAATAAGCAAATTAGAGCCAGATTTGAAGGCCAGTGGTGTGTCTCTGGTTGGGGTTGGACCAGAAGAATTTGGGTTGCAAGAGTTTAAAGAAGGCGGCTTTTTTAAAGGAGGTAAACCAAATGCACAGTTTAGATCATTGTATTTTATTGATCCACGAGGGAAATCATTTGGTCACAGTAGAAAAAATACTTTTACAAAGGTAAAATACAAATTGATTATTAATACAATGAACACTATAGAAATGGTATGTCTTTCACACATTAAGACATTTCTATTAAGTCATCATGTCACTCTAGATAGAGCTACAAGGACATAAGTTACTTTGCTGTAATACTTCTTGATGTTACAGCATTATCCAAAAATAAACTGCTGTACTTGACAAGTCGTTTCCCATAAATCACACACTCACATTCAGCATACTAGAGGATTAATCATATGATTATCACGTCATCATCATTATTTTCAGCTATTTTCATTGATGAGAAGAAGAAATGCTACAAGGACCTTGGCTTCAAAAGGTAACTCATCTTATTTACATACAGTGTTTTCATGTATTTGCCACATAAAAGATGAAAAAATAATGTAAGTGTGATTTAATGAATATTCTGTATCTTCTTTTAGATACACTGCTCTAAGTGTTGTTCCTGCTGCTCTGGGGAAGAAAGTACGAGACATCTCCTCAAAGGTTTGAATAGCTCTTTTGTCATATATTAAACAAGAACCTACAATACAATACCTTACTTATAAGTAGTATTTTATATTACTTTTATTTTACTTTTTTAATCAGGCAAATGCAGCAGGAATCCAAGGAAACTTCTCTGGAGACCTGCTTCAAAGTGGAGGCATGCTCATTGTGGACAAAGGTAAGAGCCGTAGATAAAGTATGTTATGAAATTCTGTTGTTTTTCACATGCATCAACATGCAATGGCAAGATATGAATCAATAAATATCACCTATACTCTACTGAAATGTGAACAGTTTTCAGGAATGGAGCTTTGGTAAACTTGTTTCTTTTTGTGTTCCATTGCTGTATCTCCTCTAGAGGGCAGTATTGTAATGGGAATAGCTAAATTCAGAACGGACCTCCACATAAAAGTCCCCTCAAAAGCTAAGATAGACTCTTCAAAAACATTTTTAAAGCCCTCCTATCATGTACTGGAAAAATATTGGTTCAATCACAATTACTCTTACAATAACATGAGTTACTGGCATTGCAGGGCCTTACTCTGTCTCTTAAAGCGCTGTCTTTCGATTTAATGGATACTTTTTTGTTGAAAAGTTTCTGGAGCACACTATCTATTAAATTGCAAAAACATGGTATACAAATGTAGTAAATCCTGTCCATGCTACTTTGACTGGTTCAACAATTTGGCATTGGTAGCTGTTTTGTCTTCTTTTTTTTTGATCAGAAGTTGTTCTGGACAGTCCAAAATGATAAAAAACATTCATGTGTTAACACATTTATTCAAATTACTATTTTTTCCATGTACACCTGACAATCCTTCAAGGCACGCTAGTGTTCCTAACCACCCTGGTTAAAATCATTGTAATAATAAGGGCCAAGTGTGATTTTATTTTGTCATATTTTTCTAGGTGGAGAGCAAGTACTGCTACACTTTGTTCAGGACTCCCCCGGGGACATGGTTCCTCTGGAGGAGATCTCGAAGGCCGTGGGGGTCTCGGCTAAAGTCCAGGCTGGACAGAAACCTGTGGTAAGACCTATTACACATACTATTTACTACTGTTTTAATGACCAAACATCCTATTTATTCCAGTAGTCCACTTTATAACAATGAAAACTTGAAAGATAGAAAAAACACACATTTCTAGTTGTGCCTGATATTATAATCCATTACTTTTTCTATTCAAAGAAGAGCATAAATTTATTTATTATTATTTTAAGTATCTTAATCAATTTTGATATTTCTAAGTGTGCAAAAACATATTTTCTCAAGTGCATCAAACTTAAACATTATTAATTAATTTGATCCAGTATTCTTTGTGCTTTTACCCCAGTGTGTAAAGCCCCATGTATTTCAGGCACATGACCATGTTTTTATACTCACTGTTTCTGCTGTAATAAAGAAATATAATTTTAAAAATGTTTATCAAAGGCACAAAGAGGTGATTTCTTCATTAGATTTATCACCAGAGACAGTTTTACGTCATTGTTCACAATTAGATTTCACACATGTTATTCCAGCTCATGCTTTAGGCCCTGTGTGGTAGCCTTTACAAATCCTTTAAGCTAATGCCATTACCACAGCAGCAGCCTAATCACATTCTCCACACAAACAAACTCCTTCTGTCACTGATCAAAATTTATAATTAAATAATTTAAGTCGCTTACGTCTGCAGATGACAGCCTGATATTCTCTGGACCCAAACCATTAGTTTTGTCTTATAACCTCAGTTATTTATTTATGGGCTCTGATCCGAATACTAAAGATTGCAAAGAATCATGATTCATTAATGGCGCATGTACCTTTTCTGAAGGGGCATCCACCACTTGATTTTCTCTAAGATGGTATTACTATACCTGGAAGGTTCACAGTATGGCATTGCATTTATAAACCTAGCATTTATTCACTTTAAATTGAAATATATTCATTTTTACAGTTGGCTGACTTGCCCCTTCACAGATGTGACTTGTATTGTTACCTGGCCAAGCAACAGCATCTCCATGGAGACAAGCAAGTGGCAAACAGTCCACCAGAAAAGTTACATAGTGCTCCTTTAAGACATTATTAAGGTTGCGTATTAGTACAACAATGTTAATAATTCTGCTTTTATATTTGACTGATCCACTTATCGCAGTGTAGTGTGTGCATACTGCAAAATTTCAAAGCCTTTCTGACTTTCTATATTTAATCTACTCGGGAGTACAATAGCAAGCCAACTTAAAAAGCATTGAAAGGATTATTATGCTAAACGTTTTTAAGATTTTAATAGTGTTGTTAACTCACCATAAATACAGAATATTTAAGCTTTTTCATCACAATAGTTCATAGTATTTTAATGTTTCACACACTGATGGATTGTTTTTTGAATATGTTTCATCAAGACAGGCCTAGAATTGGAGGTATCCATTTTGTCATTTTTGCCCATCAATTAGTTTAGTTTCCTTTGAACTTGAGAAACTTCAGTGCAGCACATTGGGGCCCTTCATCTTCCTTCACCCTTCTTTTAATGATATTACTGAGATTATACTTTTGTTTGTGTAGATATGCAAATAGTAATTTCAGTATTTTAGTTTATCTCAATATTCCACAATAGCAAAATATCATACTTCTCATCACAGACCTTGTTGATCCAGCTCAAAGGGCAACATGACAACTCTGTACAGAAAGACCTCATTGTGCATCTTTGTAAAATTGTGTTAATTAATCGAGACTTGAGTTTGACATTTTGTGAGTCATGGGCCTAATATTTGGTATGTCTTGTGATTGTCAGTTCTTTTAGATGGTAGTTTGGTCCAGTACATGGTTTCTCTGTTCATTCCCAGCGGGTTTTCCCACAAACTGCTCGCGTCACACATGTCCAGACAGCAATTAGTGTTTTTCTGGTTCTGATTGGATCTGGGACATGGGTCATTGGCCGATAATGATACAAATGAAGAAGCAGATTTTATAAAAGTAACTTGTGCAATATGTCACATTTCTAGTGGGAGGTCAGCCTCTTGCTTATGAAGATACTATTCCCATATTGGCCAAGTATGGCTTTAGTCTTGCCCTCGTCTATTTTGCATTTATTCCATTTGCTCAAGATTGCCTTCAAAACTTTTTTGAGAGCTGACTCACCTCTCCGCAGATCTTGCATATAACTTGGGTTACTTGACTACTCATGTAAAACATTCTAGGTATAGCAATAATAAAGACAAAGAGGTACATAGTCCACCTTTAAGGACTTTTTTTTAGATAAATTAAACATTATTTTAAGCTAAATATAGCCACATAGATAATCATTTCAAAACATTTAATTTGTTTTGTCTTGAGTCTTGGCTCTGAGAAGTTGATGGTCACAGAAGCCATTGGCAAAGAATGGCAGCCACTAGTCAAACCCAGAGCAGCTGTGACTGAGGATCACCCTAACTGAGAAAAAGGTGAAGTTCCATTGAACTGATAAAAAGCAGGAAGTGAGCTAGCTCCATATTGATTTGGTTACAGAACACGTTGGTTTGTTGAATAACAGTGTGGTAGTTGTTACATCAGACTAAATTGGTCAACAAATGATTATGTCGATTCAAAGTGTATTTAGGCATTGATGAAATACAAGTGTTGAGATACTTTTATTTTAGAGTGATTAAATGTGTCTTTGATTCTTGCAGTGCAATGATGACGTCTGTACAAGATGATGGTGCTATGGCGGATGAAAACACTCCCCAAGTTTATAATGAAGTAAAGCCTTGTAATTTAACACTGCTTTTTCAGTTTGTAAATCAGTTCTATTTTGTGTAAATGTAATTTTAATTTTCTAACCATAGTTATAAATATGTGGTTTTACACGTGATAATCTTGTGTTTTTATTCAACATGTGTTAATTGTGTATCATTGTACAATATTGTAATTTTGTAATTTCTTGAACTCTTCTTGTTCATAGGCCCTGTCTAGCAAGGCTCTCAAAAATACTTATTATGCACATACTATTCAAAGTGTACTTGTATTTACTTAAAATACATTGCATTTTCTTCATGGATTTTAAAACCATACTTTGAAACTTTCTGGGCAGAAAAGTTTACAAAGTCCATTTTTGTAACAAGTCTTTTTCCTGACAATGTTTAAATCCAGGCTCTAGATGTTTTTTGTTTTGTCTGTTTGCCTGTGTGATGCCTGTGTGACCAAAATGACTTATACATTTTATAATTATTTACAATTGTATTTGTATTGTGATTTGAATGTTTTAAATTTTGTGTACTAATTGTGCCTTTCAAATAAACTTGCCTTGATATCCTGTTATCCCAGTGGCTAATAGAAACTACATGTTTAGATCAAATAAATAAAAGAAGGAGCAAATAAAATGGGAATCTAATAGACTGAGAAAGAGAGACAATAGTGTTTGAACAGTCACTTTAATGACAATAATTACAGATTTCAGTCACAAAAATAGGAGTCTAGAGATAATTACATAGCAGAAACATTCAAATACATAATCTGTATTCTTGCAAAGCATTATGATTCCTCATAAATATTCATGTAGATAAATAAACTCTCAGGAGTATACAAATAATACAGGTAACATGTCCATACAGCAAAAATAATGTGTTTTGGTCTTTCTGTTTTGCACCATAGTACTATATAGAAGCTTTAACATAGGTAAGAGGTGTACGTCGCATCTTACCTGATTTGAATTGCTCAAATAAACAGCAACTATTTACAATTTTAAACAGATAATTGAATGTAAAGTACTGTGCAAACAATGGAACAGGGCGAAAAAGGCTACTTGGAGGGGTTATAAGATAATAAAATCCCAGGTGGATGTCAGGGGCTTTAAATATTCTTGCTATTCTCATTTGAGATCGTAAAGGTGCCTCAGCGGATGTCTAGTTTTGATTTGTATTCCTTACATTACAACTGTACCACATTTTGATTAAGATCCAATAATTTCTTAAAGAATGACAATCTTGGATCTTTTGAAAATGGCACTATGTGTACTATGACACCTTGACTATGTATTCATGACCCATAATATTAAAAGCGATTTTCATTTTTCATGCTCCTGTTGAAAAATTGGTCAACAGGAGCAAGGAGTTTGTTTTACTGTACTGATTCTTTGGAATGACAGCACTCTGGAGAGGTAATGCATGTATGTCTATAGAGGAATATTCAGCAGTTACCATGGTGACACAATGCACACATATGCAAACACAGCCTGATATGTTCAAATTGAAAATTCTGGAAAAAAGGATTTAAAAACCATATTTTCGGGAGCTTGTGATCAAAACAGTTACTCATGATCTTTTGGTATTAGATTTTTAACAAAAAACAGCGAGTATGACGAATTGAAAAAATGCTAGCTTTGACTTAAATGTCATTTTAAAGGGACTTTTCTATCAGCACAAAATCAGTTCACCTGTTGTAGTTCCAGCTGAGTCAGTTCTTTCTGGTCAGATTGAGTTCAAATAAAGCTCAGATTAAAGTCTAATGCTAACAAAGCTTCAGATGTTGATGACATCAGTTGCAAAGTATCAATTCCCCACCCTAAGCTCTATTGTACATTGATTCGCTTTGGCCCACAGGCTTCTTCCCACATCTTTTTGCACAGTACCATACATCATTTGCTAAGTCGATATTAAACTCAACATAACATCGTCAAAATATGCGTGTCATTTGGTTTTAAGTGGGAGCCAAATGTTGCATCAGTTCTTGTGAATCCAGCTCCTGCATTTCATCAAACAAGGCCTGTCCAGAAGCCTTGATGTTTTTATAATGGCACCCCACTACCGCTATGACATTTAACTGAAAGAGCTCTTTGTGTACGCATCCAGTCACCTGCCAGAGTAAGACAACCTGCTCCAGTGAGATAGCCTGCAAAGTCATCCTAAAGCATTTGAATAATACTGTAATAATTAGAGCCTGATGATTTGAGCTGTTATTTATGAGTAAATGGACACTACCACAATTTGAAAAACATGCAGCGAATTAGGAGTCGGGATAACTAACATGTGACAAAATTAAGTAAAACAGAATTAGAAAAAACAAAAGATAAATAAGTTAGTAAAACGTAAAGAAAAAACATTATTGGTCCAGCAGAACGGTTGAATTCTTAAAGGTCCTATATTTTGGAAAATGTACTTTTTTGAGCCTTAAGCCATGTTATAATGCTATTAAATGATCAAAACCTACTTAGAGTTGTGTTTTGTTTCATTCACACATATTTGAGTAATCTTTTATTATTAATCTGTCAACATCTCCAAACCTCAAAATGCCCTGTTCCACCTTGTGATGTCATGAAGCAGTAGTTTTCATGTTAAAAACTACCTTTTATCTTTTGTTTAGGACAAAAATGGCAATTCCTTGGCTGAAATAATCCAAATGATTCTTGTGAAGGTGTATGGAGTTTAAACATACAGTGGAGCCGTTCCTGTATTACCACATGACATTGCAAGATGGAACAGAGTGTTTTCAGTTTGAGAGCAGATCACAGCCTAAATATGCAGAGTTTGTGTGTTAAACATGTGTGAATGACACAAAATACAACTATGTTTTTGATTAGGAAACAAGATTATAACATGGATCAGAAAATAGCATAATATAGGCTCTATAAATGAGAAATCAGAACAGTGGGTTTTAAAATCACTAAATCTAAAATAAAAATAAATAAAAATCTGGGCTTTTATCATATTTGGACAGAACAGAATGCAGAATGCAGGTTAGCATCCGCTGCATTAGAATTAGTGGTGTGAAAATGGTGAATATTTGTACATCAAATGTTCGCTATGCAACTTTCTGGAGGATGGTTTTTCACCTTCTTGCCTCCATGGAGATATTATATTGTTGTGCCATTATATAACACAAAGTATATTTATCTTCCTGAAGACAGGCAGGTGACGCGGAAAGCCCACATATTTTTTAATTAGCAATAATAAAAATAAAAAAAACTAATAAAAAAAAATGTCAGATAGATACACTGAAATATACCTATAGCTTACTTTGTAGAGTGTTTTTTAAAATTAAAACATTACACCACTTGTTTTGGCCTGAACTATTGTAATAGTTGGGCCTTGCTTTAGTGAAGCTACAGCAAATGGCGTAAACATGGGGAACAGTTAAGAAAAAGAGGGAAAAACTTAACACAATGGCTAAGAAAAGGGCTTACAATTTCACACAATAGACAAATGATTTTACAAGTGGTCACTGTGCTGACGGTATTTAATATAAATACAAATGTTTCGATAGCCGCTTATAGTTCATGTATACTTTTAAACTACGGGATCTGAATGCACCGTTTCATTGGAAGTAGCTGAATTCTGTCCAATCACAATAAAGCCTCAAGATGCAATTCCCAAATCATTTTTTGGTGGTGGTGTTGTGACATGCCCTTTACAGCAATCACACATGAAACCAAGAGCTGAAGGCGACTGCACTCACCATTTACTACACAAACAAACTGAAAATGTGTGGCTGAGGCTATAGGTGATACAGACTATGAAGCTGCGCTGCAAAAAAATCTGCATCTGTTGAAATGACTGTTACTCAAAATAGGAAATTTCACTAATTTAGTTTAGTCTTATGTCTTATTTACTGGAGTCTTGTCTTGTTTACTCTTTACTTGTTTACTTGTTCACATTGTATCAAAACCCAGACAAAATCAAGAACTAAACTAACAACTAAACCGGGACTAGATCAGGTCCAAACCAAATCCACAAAACTGTGAATGTACCTCAGATTTTCAATTGAGCAGTTGCATTTTATTTACTGTCTTTTTTACTGGGGATTTACTTTATTTTTTTTCCTTTTCAAGCCAAATTAATATGCCAAGGGTTTATTCAAGTTATAAATTAGGACGATGACTAATAATCACAAATGATTTTGAAACCTAATAAAAATCTTGGCTAGACTAATCTAATTTATCTCAAATAAGCACCCTGAAATGATCAAAGTCTAGATTAAAATTGTGGTAAAAAAAATATTAAATGAACTGGCAATGCTGCATGCGAGGAATAAACAAGGAAAAAGAAGCAGTAAATGATTAATGGGACAATTTTCTATTTGCTTAAAACAAAATGTCTCACTTTCTTCATTCTAATACTTGCAATGTTATGTTAGATTTTAAATTCATATTTGCGTATAAAAAAATCTGACTTCAAGTAATTTGAGAGTAGTGTAGATAAAGTATTTTTGCAATGTTCTAAAGCACAATCATTTGAGTCTATGGGAGACATAAGTCGTCATGTTATATCGAGGGCTTCAGACCAGTGACCGAAAACAACAAAAATAGTCAACATGGCCGGCTCTAGCATCAGCGCTGCCCTTTGATTCATCTGTCATTACTGCTTCATAAAGGTACAATAGAAGAGTCCGGAGTTGCGCTTATTGTCTGGAAAGTATTAGTTTGGGTTCACTAAACGCAGCTCCGCTTTCATCTCCGCCGCACTGATCAATGGGGGATCAGAAGGCCACCCTCTCATCTGCTGAGCGGCCGGGTGTGAGTGCTTTCTCCATGTAATTGGATGTGGCCGAAAAGCTACAAGTCGTGTATAGAGCGTAGAGATGCTTTGAGGGTGATTTGTGAAATGTAAACAAAGCATAGATCCATGTTTATTATGGACAGAGAAATTGAAAAATGAATGATATTGGATTTGCTGGCTTTGGAGACATGAAACATTAGAATATTGTGTAGTAGGCCATTAATAAAAACTGCTAAAACAATATGCAAAAAGAAGAAATCAAACAATATTCATGTTTTAGCATATATCTGACGGGCTGCCATATTATCATCTGAATGTCATCATGCGGATAATCTATTTTGTCAATATAGCATTAAACTTCTCTACTCCACAGAAACAAGCAGGTGAAGCCACAAGGCAAAGTCAGATCTGTGTAGAGGTGACAACACTCACTTGCATGGTATTACGCAAGGTGCCCATTTAGTATTTAAAAGACTTGAATAGTGCTAGTACATGCAAAATAGTTAAGTTTAATGCCATACTGTGGAGCATTCCAGGCAAAGCATTCATTTCCATGGAGACAAGCAGGTGACAAAGCTTATATCACAAATAGGCATCAAAAACGTTGAGAATATTGATTTTGTGACTTAATTAAAAGTGAGTTTATTTGCCAGACTGCCTTCATGCTTTTGCCAATTCAATAAAACCTTTTGTCCCAAGCATACATGGCTTACAGTCATTAACCACTTCATGTGAAATTACAAAGCTTCAGTTATATATATAAAAAGTACCAACTAAAATGTCAACATATGAACCATACTTGGACAAAACCTACATAACAGTCTCCAGTTTGCTGAAAAAGATTTAGGCTACGAAAATGGCAAGAAAACAGTAACAGATGAGGAATTAAAAACTAAATAAAAACATGTAAACCATTACAAGTTACATTAGCTTATACCAGTTTGAAACAAAAGCTTCTCATGATGGCAGCTTTTGTGGGATGTTAATTAAGGGTCAAAGCTGCGCAGTTTTAACAGTCGAAGTCTTTAGGTAATTTTTGTTTCTTGGACAATGAGTGACCAAACTGTGACTAATGCTGTTGTTGTTCATTCATCACAAGCTCAGGCTACAGTCGCTATGTAATGTTTTATTACAAGACAGAGATAACCAAAATGAAAATTGCAGTAAGGCTCAAAGGCAGTCTGCAGCTTCGTCCCTTTTACAATGTCATTCCTATAAAGTCAGCCATTTTGTTCTCTCCAAGCTGTCTAAGATTCAGACCTGTGCCAAAGTACTGAGGTGTGAAAAAAGTTATTAAACGAGAGCACTTAAATAGATGATTAGTTTTAAAGTTTGTGGTAAAGTTAAAGAAATTTCTCGATTGGAGTTTCAAGATCCTATGTTACACAAATTGGATTCCTGTGAGCTTCAGCCCATGTTGTAATCCTGTTACAGCATCATAAACATACCTGGTGTTGTGCTTTCTTTCTTTCATGTATGTTTGAGTAATCCTGGTTTATTCTGTCTGTCTACATCTCTAAAGCTCAAAATGCTCTGTTCCAGCTTGTGATGTTGTAAAGACGTAGTTTTCAAGTAAACAGCTATCTTTTATCTTTTGTTCATTAGAGACAGGATATTCAAGGGCTGAAATCATCCAAATTATTCAATAGTGAGGCTGCCTGTATTACCACATGACATCACAAGGAGGACCAGAGCGTAACTCCTAAATATACATGATTTGTGTGTTAAACATGTGTGAATGAAACAAAACACAACCCAAAGTATGTTTTTATGAGGAAAAATAGATAACAGAGATCAGAAAATACTGTAATATAGGCCCAGAGGTGTTTTAAGGAAGTTTGTATCATTTTGAGATATCTTGGCTCACTTAACAATTTACTCCTGAAATAGCAATTTATATCTAGGACCACAGACTGTATATAGAAGTGGACTGAGGGAATGTGGCGTCACTCATAGCGTTCGGCTCCAGCCAAATGAAGCCAATCAAGGCTAGCAGCTATAGTGACTAATTTAGAGCCAAGTTCCATATTTGGAATTTCAAGAATGCATATTACAGCAACCAAAGAGCCAATCAGGAGTGAGGTTGCTGAAGGTACTGGTACTCTTTGTCACATGTTCATTGCAAGATATCGTCAATGCCTTGGAAGAGGTCTTAACTCTCCAAGTCATTCCAGTTTTTATTTTTCTTCTGTTATAAACATTTATATAAAGTATTCTTTCTAGTTCCTGCCTTAGATCTTGGCACAGTCCTGCACTTAAAAACCTGTTGGATATCACTTTGAACTTCACCAAAAATAACTTATATTTACTTATATATATATATTCATGTTTAAAATCTCTACCAGACTCTGCACTTTTGCTCTGGGTTCATTTGACTTCCTCGTGGACACTGAAACGCTTCGGAAAATGCTTCAAAATTCTGGAGAGATCCGAGAACCCTGAAGGAAAAACAAAAACAAGTTTGAGAGGACAGCATGGCCTGAGAGATGTTATGAGGAAGAGGAGGAGGAGGAGAAGGAGGAAGAGGAGGAACAGTGAGTACGGCCCTGATTGCTTTAATGAATTGGCACAACAACAACAGTCTGCTCTGGAGGGAGTTCTGTAATAAAGTGACTGCTTTCATAACACTAAGAACCAGCTGAGGCCAAACACTGGGAAAGGTGTACTGGTTTGTGGCACATTTTACAATGAGAAACATCATGGTTATAGAAAATCCTTTATGTAATTGTGTTTATGTAATATGGAGCTCAACAGTGAACGCCCACTCTGGTTCTGGAAGTAAAATTTCCATTCATTTAAAACAAAGATATGATGAAATGCTTTAATAACTTGGCAGTTTATAACATTTCAGAAACAGATTTTACATAAAAATTATAGGTCTTGTGTTCATTAGTTATTTTTTTCAGAAAGCCTATGGGGAAAAAAGAATGAGAAATTTACTTCTGAAACTGGGGGGTGGTTGGTCACTGTTGAGCTCCATTGTGTTGTCACTCAAATTTCAAACTTTGTTTTACTAAAGAAAAGGCTCAATCCACCATACTGACTTTGGTCCTACAATGATTAGAAAAACACTATTTTTTAGACAACATAATGTAATCTTTGCCACAAAATACATTTCTTTCAAGTTACCATCTGCAATTAGATTGGCTGACCTGCCCCTTTTGTATCATCACATATCACCTAGATGCTATCTACATTACTTCTGTCTGATAGTGTGCCAGTTTTGGTCTGACAGAGCAAGACCAGAGAACACAGGTGAGCCTGAGCAAGGGCCAGGTGAGGATGGAGGGACCAGGTGACGGGAGGAGGGAACAGGTTTCACATTTACCATGTTTTTTCTTTAGTCCTAGTAGTTAAAACATTTTTAACTCCTTATATTATGCTTGAATGAAGATGAATGAAATCCACCAAATTACTGTAGCAATTGTTTGTGTAGCGTTACAATAATAGGTTAATAAATATTAAATGTTTTGCCATTTACCTGTATTCTAAAGGACTATGGGAGTCTGTTTTGATAGATTGGCTTGCATACTCTGGTCGATACGCCCCACACCACACCTGGAAAAAATAAAAAGGAACAGTGTAAGTGTAGGTATTAAAACAAGGAACTGGAACTTACAAATGCATTCTTAAAAGTGCACTATGTAACTTTTCTGGTGGAGGGTCCACCACCTGCTTGTCTCCATGGAGATGTTCCACAGTATAGCATTAAATACACTGATCTTACATGTATTGTGTGGAATTATTTTATACCACAAAAATATATTTAAAAGACATGTATTCTTACTGTAAGCAGATCTGACCTGCAACTTAGCCTGGTGGCATCACCTGCTTGTTTATATGGAGATCTACAAGTTTAATGTCATACTGTAAATCATTCCATGTAAAGTACTGCCATGGGGATAAGTGGGTGACAGACTGTATATATAAATGGATATAGATAACCCGCTAACCCCCACGTTCCAAGTAGGAAGTTAAGATGTGGGCACTTCTAGCTCCTACTGATTCTGGCTCTTATTGACTTACATGGGAATATTGTCGCCCCCTCTTTCTGTAACAGCTGCTGTCATTTTGGTCTTAAAATGATCATATTAACCCAATCTATTAAAAATCCTATTCCTAATATCAATTCGCCCCTGTATCCACTATCATCTCAAGCTTTATTTGAGTGGAGCTGGATGCTATGGGTGACGTCACTCTCGCTTAGTCCACTTCTTTTTACAGCCTATGCGACAGGCCCAGAAAAGTTGTAGGTAAATTTATAGGAAAACATCAGGTATTAGAAGTTTACAAATCAAAAAGTTTACAAACATTCATGATTAAGAAGCAGAGAATGTTTGGCTGACATTGGTATTTTGCCTATTAATATAATTACCATCTGAACTCTAAAGCGCAGTTAGATTTATTTTACAAGACTTTTATAGCAGGACACAGATTCAGATGAATTGGTCACAAAAGCAAATGGCCCTCTTGGTACTGTTCCTATAATTTTTGGACAGAACTCAAATAATAAAAATCTAATCAGTGAAATTTAGTTTCTTTATATCACAGCGATTTATTTTTACATTTTTTCTGGCAGTAAGAGACTCTTTATTTTGGCACAGTGATTCTGAGCAATGGTCCTGTGTAACTTCAGCCCTTGTCCTTCTGTTTACTTTTCTGAACATCCACTGTCACTTCACTCCGGATGAGACTATTACGTTATGATGTAATGAAGATAACTGTAGGAGATGACCGTGATCTTGGCATAGTTTTTAAGTAGTCTCATCTGTAACAAAGTCATTTCCTCAAAGTGCTTCATGTACCACAATTGAAAGAGGCAGCTGGTTGGTGGTTTAATGCCTACTCTAGCCAAGTTCAATGTGTCCTTGGGCAAAGCACTTTACAGACATTGCCTACAACAGCTACAGTTTGTGGTTAGTTGATTAAAAAAATGTTTTTGTTCCCTGCATTCAAGTCAGTATGATAATAAATAAAACACACAATCCAGTTAGCCAAGAACCGAGCAAGAACATACTTCTGAATGTAGTATTTTGCAGTAGTCCAATATGTCTAATGCCTGGGCGATTCAAATGATGATCGCAAAATGATAGAAAAGATCAGCCATGTCAAACTCACGGGATCAAATGTGGCACAGAATATAATTATATTTGGCCTCTGAGATCGTATCAAATATGTATTAGAGCTGGCCCGCTGGCTACAGATAGGCTATAGAGACATTATTTAATTAAAATGTTGTTATTATTTTATATTATGCTTGTTCTGGATTCAATGTTTAAGCAAAACTATTATTAAACATTTATTTTAATAAGAAAAGGGTTAGCATTACATATCTCGAAAGAAGAGAAAACATGCAGATGTTGTTGAAATTTTTCAATAAATATTTAGTTTGGCATACGACTTAGTCCCAGTTTTTAATTTTGGCCCGCTATGAATTTGAGTTTGACACCCCTGGGTAAGATCATAGAAATTAATTCTGCTACATTTAATAAACAATGGACAATGTAACTTTTCTGGTGGGGGTCTGCTACTTACTTGTATTCATGGAAATATTTATGCCGTTCTGCAGAACATTCACGGGAAAGCAAACATTGTCATGGAGATAAGCTGGTGATAGATCTTCCACCAGGAAAGTTACACTGTTTGCCTTTTGTTCAGACTTTTATTGGAAATGTTTAGTGAAAAAAAACAAAATAAACAACTAAAAATGTTCTATCTGATTTGAAATGTTTTGCATCTTTACTGTAAAATCCAACAAACACAAATCCATTTAATACTTAATTCTTCAATAAAACGTGACCTTACTTGCGCAAAATTGAGAAAGAAAAGTTGCTTGTGGTCCATGTCTAACCCTGGCAGCCGAGGCTCCTCTCCCTCTGTTTCAACCCACTTCAGATAGGCCTGTAACAAACAATGAAACAAGATACTGCTAATTACACAATCTGCTGTACCAATAAAGAGCTTTTATAATGGAGTTTTATGGGAAATGTCAAACCTTATAAGCCTGACGCACTCCTCCGTTATCTGCTATGTTTTCTCCTAAAGTGCTGATGCCGCTAACCTGAAATACCCCCACACAGAAAAGAACGGTGGTGTTAAAGCACTTTATACAATTTCATATTTAAAAGTCCTATATCAAGTAAAATTGACTCTTGTGAGCTTCAAGGCAAGTTTTTGTTACCTCATCAAAAACATACCTGGAGTGATGTTTTGTTTCATTCACACTTTGAGTAACCTTTTATTTTTAGTCTGTCTACATCTCAGCTCAGAATGCTCTGTTCCACCATGTGATGTCATGATGCAGTATTTTTCAGGTTAAGAGCTACCGTTCACCAGCTACTGTTCATCGGAAATTCTAGGATGTATGGAGTCAAGGTGGCACAGCTTAAATATGCAGGGTTTGTGTGCTATGTGACTTAACCCCACTCCGGGTATGTTTACGATGAGGATACAACATTATAACAGATTTGAAAATAACATAATACGGGGCCTTTAAAGATCAAAATGTAAATCTCAGTGATGAAAACAGAAACTTGAATTGAGAATCTGAAATATTTTTATTCTAGGAAACAAATAGGTGAAAATTATTAGAAACAAGGGTAAGAAATTTGTAAAGTTCCACAATTCAGAAAAAATATGTAATTACATTTAAAAGAATTGTAGTTTTAAACCCTAGAAAAGGAAGTAATAGTGGAAATGTCAATGTTGATCTAAATCATGGCAATATTTGAACAAAGATTATCAAAAAGGGCAACTAATATTATTTTTTTATTGTTGTGGGATCACATTCAGTCTCTGTAATTTTCTAAATGTCTCTGTCCCAAGATTTCCTTTGTGTTCAGCCTTGCACTGCTTTATCACATCCAAGCCAAAAGGTCACAATACTATTTTGGGATTACATTTGAGAAAGAAAGGTTAGAAATACATTCTGTCATGTTATTTCCGACCTTAATACAGGACAGAACTTTGAAATATTTATAAAAAATTTATATATATATATATATATATATATATATATATATATATATATATATATACACATATATATATATATACATATATATATACACATATATACATATATACACATATTTATTTTTTAAAAGAAAGAAAAACCTCAAATGAACAGTCAGTTTTAACAACAATAATTTTTTTTTATTTTTTATTTTTTTAAATTTTTTTCAATAAAATTCTATAGTTAAAATCTTACATTTTGTCCGCCTGCAAGTTTCCAGATAAAGTTGCCGTATTGTTGCACCATGCACTGAGACTGGTCTTTAAAATGCTCTGCTGAGTAGTTACTCCACCAGTTAAGCATGTTTCCATCTTTGTCAAAATTCCGCCCTGCAAGAAAAATAAACCAAAAAAATGTTTTATTCAACAGCAATTTTTATCATACTGACAATATTTAGAAGTCATTGTAATCTTCCATAAGGTTAAGATACACTTTAATGCCTGTAGGGAATTTTGTCTTTTTCACTCATCCTTCCCCATTCCAGTTAATAAAACAATTTACAATCAGGCAACTACACTCACACAAAAGCATAAATAAAACCTAAAAATCAAGTCTGGAATATAGTGAACAAGTTGCTATGCAGTAGATATCTCACCATTGTCATCAAATCCATGCGTAATTTCATGTCCAATGACCATTCCTATTCCTCCAAAGTTCAGAGCCTGGTGTTGGTGTTTACTGAAGAAAGGTGGCTGCAGGATCCCAGCTGGAAATACTTAAACAAAAACAAGAGAATTAAGTTTAGTGAGATGTTGGCTTTTATTATTATCTGATTTTTGGAGTTATCAGATTATTGAAATGTCAGAAAACAGTTACATCTGATGTGATAAGCTGCTTTCTTTTTGTATGCTTGCATGCAAACTAATAATGTGGCAAAGCCAAAAAACAAAGAGGGAAAAGAAAAAAATTAAGCTATTTTAAAATTAATTGTGCCTTGTCTTCCAAAGGCAACTGGTCCTCTAAAAATCTATTGATTAACAGACAAAAGTCACTACATGTTTTTGATGATCAGGTTTCTTTTGTACCATACACGAAAAATCTGATCTAATTACGGAGTTATTATTACAGAGACAAACATCATTAAAACATTCAAAGTGGTCTGATTCTTACCAATTTGATTTCTATTTGGAGAATAAAATGCATTGACCACTGCAGCGCCAATGATCCACCTAAAAAGACATTGTGCAATGAAGTAAGAGCAAATACCGTAAGCAATCACATATTTGGCATGTAACATTATACAAGTGGACTAATCAAGTTAAAATCTACCCCCAAGTACAATTCCTTCATGATGTTTTTGGCTACAGCTACAGCCCTGTTTAAACTGGGTCTTACAGGTCAGGGTCCACTGGCTCTCGGAGTTTCTTCAGACTCTTCTGAGCTTCAGAACGCTGGTTTTCCAGGATGTTCTCAAAATAATGCTCTACACTGAAGTTTAACTGAAATCATAATAAATAAGTTAAGTTAAGTTAAGTTAGTTTAATTAAACCAATGTATGTGCTGTAGAAAAGTATATTGTGAACTGGGGTATTTGGTATTTACATGGCTGTATTCCTGGTCAAGTTTCTGGTTGTTCTCTTGTAGAATGTGGTCTGGATAGCCAATGTGTTCCTTTATTGACATTGCCTATAAAATGTAAGAATTATAGTAAAATATATCATAAAATATGAATACATTCAAAATATAAAAGAAACAATATATTGTCAACACTCAAAATAATCAAGAAATAAAACATTACACAAGACTATTGATTTCATATCCTCTTGTCTTTTATAAAGAATGCATTCACATGTCCTAGTTTAGATCTAGTTTGATGCTGGTTTGAGTAGTCCAACAATAGACTTGGCTTGATCCTGTTTTAGTACTGGTCTAGCCTCGGGTCTAGTCCAGGTTTAGTTCCTACTTACTTTTAGCCTCAATTACAATGTGGTGACTGTGCTAGCTTGAATACACCCCAATTAACTTAGTCTTTGTGTGGACCAGTATCCAATTTCAATATCCTTCTGCCAATATAGTCACCCTTCCAGCAGCTGTACCTCTGATTTTCTCATTCCTAAATCTTTTCACTAGCTCCACCATACATATAACTGGTCTCTCCACGATACTGTACAATTTTACCTTTTCTCGCGCCTTCTCTTTTGATGGTGTGTCCATCCAGCTCAGCTCCTCCAGTGTCTCCACATAAGCTTGTTGGATTTTGACAATAAGATCACTAACCTAAAAACAATTATCATTATTTTTATATATATATTATATATATACATATATATATATATATATATATATATACATATATATACACACACATACATACATATACATATATACATAAACACATTACATTACAGTACATATACTTTATAGAGTTTTAGACCTCACCATCCTTTTGCTCTCTCCAGCAAAGGTCTCCCTCACATATAAAGCCCCTACTGCATTTTCCATGCTGTTCTGGATGTATCGGACACACTCTCGCCACCAGGCATCCTCCACGGTCGTGCCATAAAGAGCCTGACGAATACAAATAAATCTATGATTACTTTAAAAAGAGACAGTATTTTTTTATTTGACTGTCCAGCCAAGACTGCACTCTTTTACCAATCAGTGAAACACAGGGTCCAATCAAAACAAACATGGTATCTTACATGTAAAAAAAAATTAATGTGTAAAAGTATTACATTTAGTTTGGAATGATACAAGAATATTCCAAAGAGACTGAAAGACACATGCTACAAATTAGTGAGAGCACGTCCTAAAATTAGACAGTTGTCTGATTCATTTCGTGGTCTTGTTCCAGACTCTCTTGCATTCAGACAGAAAGAACAAGTGACTGCCTTGCCAGGCAATGGCCAAAACTGAGAAAATTGAGGAATAACTTTAACCTTGAGCCAATGGACATTAGTTCTGCATGTTATTGTACCTCTATGTTCATGGTATTACTTGAGCTTTAATGAGTTAGGGTTATACAGTTCCCTGTTATGGTATTTCATATATAATACATAATTGTATTGTATTGAATATAATTCATAATTGTTTTCATAAACAATATGTTCAATTGTGTGTATACACTGACCAACTTAAAAACATCAGTAGGATTTAGATTCCACCCTCTACGCAGGTTTAGTTCATTAGAGCCTAGTACCTTTCTGTATCGTGCTCGGGCATCTTTGAATCTGCGACTCAAACTGTTCACTCTGTCAATGATGAGCTGCCATGTGAGGTAGTTCTGCATAGTTCTACAATAACAACCACAAGAACACTTTTAATTTGCAGTGTATAAAATGTGACACCTAACTAACCTAAATCTGATTAAACTGACCTGACACTGTGTCGTGACAAGACTTCATTCATCTTCTCAAGATAGGGGGCGCTGTAAACCACCACCTCCTCCTCAGACTGGATTTCCACTGACACACTGGAGAGGACGCCCTGGATAAATCTGGTCCAATTAAATCCCTACAAAAAAGAGAGAGAAAAAATGTTTAACAGTGTTACTCTGTAGCATTACAAATCCAGCATTCAAAGTAACTTTTTATATTATTATATTTATTTAGATATAAACTGACTTCCACAAACCAAGAATACAGTCCCAAATCATTCAGCCATCAATATGTGGCCTGTACTTACTGCTCTAAAATAGTAAAATTGATTGAAAATTGATATGTTATCATTAGAAATCAATAGTTTTTTTTTTTTTTTTTTTAAGGTGGACTATGTAACCTTTCTGGTGGAAGGTCCCTCACCTGCATATATCCATAGAGAAGTTATTGCTTTGCCTGAAATGTTCCACAGTATGGCATTAAACCTTTCAATGTAAAATGTATTTAATTACATGTGCTCTTTTTACCTTGAAAAACATGCATTCTCATTGTGCAGTGTTGACTCTCCACAGATCTGACCAGTAACTTGGTGGTGTAACATGCTTGTCTCCATGGAGACACACAACTTTTAATACCATACTGTGGAACCTTTCAGACAAAGAAATATCATCTCTATATGGTGAACTATCCACCAGAAAAGTTAGAGTGTGCTTTTAACTAAACTCCCTCCTTTGCAATGTACATGACTACCTGTGACAGATGGTCATATTACAGGTCTTAATATTACCCAAGCGGTGCATGGTCCAGGCCAATTACAATATCCATTAGTCGCATTCAATTTGCAGTCCATTTGTTATTTAAATATGACAGTAGTTAATGAAAATCTTGCCCATGTAAAATCATTCTCACGTTAAAGCTGTACGTGCTCTGCAGCTCGCTCAGTGTCATCTTGTTGTAGAGGACAGTAACGTCTTGGCGCTCCTCGGCTGGAGATGTGGCCTGCACAAAAAAAAGCTAATTTTTAGCTATATAGTTTTTCTATTATTAAACAACAAGATAAATTCTTATTATTAGACATATACATAAAAAATACAGTCAACCCAAACATTCAAATTTACATATCACATTGAATCATTAAATCCATTAATCACTCTGCTCACGACAGCTACAGACTCGGGCTAAAAGCTTGGCACTCATCCTGGGTTTATACTCAATGTGCCCCCAATCTCCCATTTACTGGAAGCTTTAATAACTTGCTCATTTTTCATCTTGTCACAGTGCATTTTCCTGAGATTCATCTCCTGTTATGGCTGGCACTCACGTTTGCGATGTCTGTTTCCAGCTCCAGAACTTGGATCATCTCATCCCAAACCCTCTCGTCGTCCTGAGTCAAATTCCGATCCTCACGAGTAATTCTGGCAATCGAAGCCATGAAGTGGAGGTACGCCTCTCGTACCTGTGGGGTAATACAAACAAATATGAATATGTATAATATGCAATGACTGACAATTTAATTAGGTACAGTAATTTGGTTGTTTGGCAATGCAAACAACCTGTCAGCCAATTACATCGCAGCGACTCAATCTGACCAGTGATGAAGATTAATTGTTGTATTAAACAATTTCTTCACTGTCTTTACGAGAACAGACAAACTTGTGTCCATAAATGTACCCAATGGCAAGAGCCATTTCACCAAATACGAGAACACATAGAAAACAATGTGAACTTGAAATTTGCAACATAAATTAACTTATCATAAATCATATTCATATTATATTACTCTGGGGTTACATGCACGTTTAAATCTTAAGTGCATATGGTCAGTGTGCCCTTGGGCAAATTTCGTCGTCATTGTAAACAAAATATACATATGTGATAGAGCTGTTGTAGTTCTTTAGTCATTTAGATGATTAACCGGTCAACCTATTTTTTTTTATAGTGGACTGGCTATTTTATTATTATCCAAGGACCACAGCAGAAAGGAGAATGCATGGAGTGAGTTTGCAGGAGTTTTGAGAGTGACTAAACAGTTTAATCTGCTTTTTCACTTTTTCTCATTTACTTGTACTTTACTGTGTACATGGTTGTTTTTGTAAAGTTTCTAAACTCTAGCCAATGCCACACCACATCTTCTTTTAGTCAAATAATCAATGCACAGGGTATGTCTTCAGCAGCCTATAGCCTTAATATGTGGAGGAAGGTTTAATAGTGCAAAATAACACAATGCTATCTGGAAGGGATTGGCAAAAATGTAATAAAAAATGTATTGCATTGCTGAAAACATTTTAATGCAGGTCACTTCGTTAGGTCAAAGGTATACCTAATAAAGTAACCACTGTATGTGTATTTTCATCAGTATCAAAACATAAAATAAAGTATAACCTTTTTGTAGTTCCCATCATTGAAGTAATAGTCTCTTGATGGCATTCCCAGTCCTGGCTGATCAATCTGGACATTTCAAAATAACAAAATGATTAAAAACAACCTCTCAGACTTCACTCCCCGACTCCTCTGTCTTCTTAGCTTTGGTCTTACATAGATGATATGTTTCTGCGAGTCACGGTCGTCTGTCCACACGTACATGTCCAGTACAACCTTCTTGTGAAACCGAGCTGTGAGGGTGGCAAGAGTGTCCTCCAAGCTCCAAATTTCCTCTGAAAATTACACCAAGAAGAGACAACTTTACACCATCCTGAATACAGAGACCTATTGCTTCTCTTGCACTTTTTACAGTGAGTAAATCCCTATGTTCAGTAATTCTGTTTAATCTGCAGTCAATGATTACGTTTAATTAAAGTGGCCTAGAGCTGAGGAAGTGCAGACTACGCTATATTAAGGAACGGCCTCTTGAATGAGAATACCTGAATACTGAATTTGTTTCCCAGCACAAAGCTTTTAAAAGGATAATTCGAGCGAGTTTGTAGGTAGATGTGGTAGAGTAGCCATAGGTTGTTCTACGTACTTCAAATAATATTATTAAGTAGAAGTACAAAATAGTTACACTGTTACTCAGTAAAATGTATTACTCAAGCAAGCGTAAAATTTAAATATTTTCATTAAATGCAGATGAAAACATAAATTTCTTTTGGAATTAAGAAAGTATATTCATACAAAATGCTTCTCAAGTAAATGTAGCTGATATAGGCATCCCAATAAGCCAATCTTCAAATTGCATGTTTATCACTCAAACACAGTGGTTGAGGGTAAATTGTTTGGTGAGGATAAACCATTTTATCGCAGTGTGATTTCAAACCACTGACATTACAGTGATTGCATGGTTTAAAATACATAAAGAGTAAACTGGCTGTAAAGCAATTTTATGGTTAATTGCTCTTGTATTCCAGGAAATTCATCTAGCACATATTAGATCCAGCTAACCAACCACCAAACCATATTAGTTATAATGACATGACACGGGAGGGTGTTTATATTTATGCACAGAAAATCACATATCTAATCTGTGAGAAACTGAGCATCATATCTAACACACACCAATACAATAGGCTATGTATGACTTAAAACCGAAGATCTTTTCCCAGTGTATTTGAGCAAAATTTGCCCTGTACAGATATAGCTCTTAAGGTCAAAATAGTGTTTTATTGTCCAGTAATCAAGAAGTGCACGTTAGCATGCGTTGTTAGGTTTACCTTCACAACTCTGCGCTGGTGTCCGAGAGTTGTCAAAAGTGAGGAATAAGTGAGCATTAACTCTGGACCACTGCAAACCTTTTAAACTAATTCTGTTTATCACATTTTTGAGAAAGTACAAAATCAAGTACAGTGCTTTTAACACCTTTTTTTGTTCATTCTATTCAGTCAAACAGTTGAGTTAAAAGTACTCCATAATTGTTGGAATGTGAAATACTAACTTTCATAAAGCACTAATAGCAAATAACTCATTGAATATTCTGAAGCAAGTTAAGATGAGGCAGTTCACTTTTAAATATCAAAAACAACATCATCCAACTCCTTTGCAAATCTTCTTAAATACCTGTTGTGTTGCTCCAGTCATCAGATGCTACAGGCCAGTCTCCTATACTGTCTATAAGTTTGAGTAGAGGTTGAGAATCTCTTTGCTCTATTAGACCTGTGGGTAAAAACAAACAAACAAACAAACAAAAAAACATTAATGATACTATTTACAGCCATCTTTTTAATCATTAGTTTGTTATCACTTCTCACTTTCATTCATGCAGGAGTTGTAAAGCACTTTGGCCTTTCTGATGGCATCTCTGTCTTGGTCGCTTGGTGTTTCCAGAGCACCTGAGAAATGAAAAATGAAAAATGAATGAAGGGTCTGAACACTGGTGGAGGAGAGGAGGAGGAGGAAATGGAGATGGATGGTTCGGCTGCTGCGGTGGAGACAGGGTGAGGAGGGTAGTAAGCACAAAGCTGAAATGCCAGGATCAGGGTTGCCAGATTTTCAGAGAACAATAAACAACCGAGCAGTGACCTGAACACAAATATAAGTAGCAAGTCAAATGTTGTGTGTTATAGCTGAACAAGCACAAATGTGTATACTTTTAATGACAGACTCACAGGGCATTTTGATGCCCATGAGTTTTAGCCCTGTTCACTTAGTCCTTTCTGCAACTGTGATATTGCACATAACAACTAGTTTTTTTTCACTACTGAAAATGTACCATGATCGGGAATCAAGTGTCTGGGATAGTATCAGGCAGTTGTTTCCCATGACTCTTAGTGAACAGTGGCCCTGATTGGACAAAAATAGGTGACCGTGTCAGTACCTGAATTAGATGACACACAACAAAATGCTTTGTGAAATATATCAAATATGTACTGCAGTCTCAATTTAAATCTTATTTAGCTGATTTTACAATACAATGCATGATGTAAATGGCAATTTATCTCGACTAGAATAAAGTAACAGCATTTCACATTTAGTAGGCTTATTATTATTTTTAATACGTATTGGATAGAAATAACTGTGACCTGAATAATCCAGATTAATCAATTAACCTTGACATATTTATCCATCAATATTAGCACAGACCTTTGAGGACAATCTCGAGTTTGTCTCGCAGGATGTCAAAGACACTATGTCTGGAGCTGGTCTCTGGGATGACATGCCGCTCTAACCAGCCCCCACAAGCAAACTGGTAAAAGTTCTCACAGGGCTTCACCGAGCTGTCCATGTTCTGTAGCAGACGTGCAGCTGAAACAAAATCAAGAAGGATGGGATTAGCAAAGTAAGATATGAGCAAGAGTCCTAGTTTATCCATGTGCCGTCTAAGCAAGATGTTAAAAGTATTCTATGTTATAATGTTATTTCCTCATCAAAAACATACCTCTTTTGAGTTTTGTTTTGTTGCATTCCCACATTTAACACACAAGAGAGTAATTCTCTCAAACAGAAACACTTTGTTCTACTTTGTGATGTCATAGGGTAATAAGTGCTCCACTGTGTGTTTAAACTCTATTCACCTTCACTAGAATAATTTGGATGATTTCAGCCTTGGATTTGCCAATCTCTACTGAACTGAAGGTAAACTTGAAAACTACCACTACATGACATCACAAGATGGAACAGAGCATTTTGAGCTTTAGAGAAGGTTTACTCGAGTGACTGTGTGAATGAAACAATTTTGGATGTGTTTTTGAGGAGGTAACAGCATTATAACATGACTTACAGCTCACAAGAATCCATTTTGTGTAATACAGCACCTTTAAGATTTTGATTCTAAACACAAATAAGGTTATCTTACAGATACTTTACAAGTACAGGTACTTTATTATTCCATTGTAAGGGAAATTCATTTTCTGTTTTTGACCAATCCTCCTTCTGGGGCTAACTTATCAGGAGCAGTGAGCCGTGTTCTGTGTTGATGGGGGGAAACGGAGTGCCCAGAAGAAACCCACCAGACAGGTGGTGAAACATGGAAAAGCTGTAGCAAATGAGCAAATGTGAGCTGTCGTAAATAAAATGTCAGTATGATCACTCACCTGCAGTAACACAGTCAGCGGTGGTACAAACATTGTCTGAGCTCAAGTGATCCTGTTGACCTAAAAAAAAAAAAAAGATAATTTTGAAGTCATTACAGTCAGAAAAGATACAATATCTGTGGTTATAGAGTGCACAGAAACGTCAGTAATCTGTCACTCAGTTTACCATTTCATGCCATTATAGGGTCATAAAGGCACAAACCTCCATAGATGACCATGCCAAACTATTATTTTATTTTGATAGGTTTTTCTGTCATGCAGCTGTCAGATTGTACAATGACCAGTGCTAGTCCTGTACATGTGTCCTACACCTGTAGTAATCATGTGCAGCAACTGTCAAATAATGTGAATCACCAAATACACTGGAGTCATTTTAGCAGTTATTTAATGTTGTCCATATGCTGTACTGTACATAACCATATTCATAACCACTTACACTGTACATAATAGTGTTTAGCTTTATAATTTAAGCAGCAACAATAAAAACAAAGTATGGAACATTTACGATGGAGATAGATCCTTTTTATGCTAATCTGTGGAAAATTCCAGACACGTTGAAGACAGGCAGGTAGTGTGTCTGCATTGCAATCAAAAAAGTGACAAGTCTGGTCTGTGGAGAGAAGCCCCCTCACCACAAAGGTACATGCTTTTCATTCTTTAAGAACACCCATAATGACACCCATAAGGACAAAATGACTTTATTTTTAAATCTTATGCTGAGGGGCTTATGCGGCGTAAATGAGGCGTAACTAAAGTGGCCTATATTTTAATGTTCTCATTAAATAGTGATATTTCTATTCTATTTTTGCAGTTATTCATCTTTATTTTTGACATTGTATTCTATCCTCCTGCTGTCCCTGTACTTTGTATTGCAACACTGAAATTTGGGGCAAATAAAGGTTATTTTATCTATTCTTACTGTTTTTAGGTCGGAAAAACACATCTAAAGCTATGGAGATGTACCTGTAAGTGTGGAACCCTTGGACTCCCTCGCCACACTCGGCCTGCTAGATTGCTCTGAGGAAGAAGAATAAAATTTGCAGACAGAAAGAGGTAATGTTAGAAGTAAGTAGCTGTGATTAAAGTGTTTTTGTAGACAGTCTAGCACGACAGACTGCAGGTTTCACAGAGGGGGCTTCAAATTCGCTGTAATGATAGGTTATTCAATAGTATGCTTTGGTATTAAACATAATGTTATTTTTACCACCAATCATTGCAAAGGGGCCTCCAGAACATCAGACAGGTATGACATAATATTAAAAGAGTAAAAACCAAAATGTTATGCAATGAAAGCACTGTTTTGGGGGCACATGTATCCCCCATTCCCATCATTGTTATATAACCAGTAAGTCCAATTGTGAATGATTGATGATGGTCAGAGGGGCATATCTGTCAGCCTGCTCCATTGAGTGTGGAGTGAATGTATATTGTGAACATAATACGCTTATCTCTCATCTCTGCAAACTGTTCAGTCCCATGTTGTTAATGTTTTACCTTTCACTGCCGATGTGTAGAGCACCACGAGTCCAGCAAGGGCACAGCTGACCAGCAGCAGGAGCACAGACAGCCCAATCTCAGCCGCGGTCCAGCGGTGTTTCCCAGGTTTACTAGATTTCTCCATGATGTCCATTTGACTTTCAGATTTGCCCATTCTCCTGAGTGCGGACTGAGGAGCAGGACACAAAGTGAGTTAGAGTGGTATTCTGTGTTTCAGGTATCTCTAAGCACACAAGATGAAGGGATACCTATTTCTTCAAACTACAAGATATATTGTGTCCATATATGTATAAAATATGACATCAGGTTAAGCACTTCATATTTCACTCTTCTTGCAAATATCATTGTCTTTGAAAATTTTTGAAATCTGTACTTTAAAAAGGTAGAGGGTCTGTCACCTGCTTGTCTTCATGGAGATGTTTTTGCTTTGCCTAGAATGCTCCACAGTATGGCATTAATCTTACCTATCTCCATGGAGACAGCAGATGGAGCCATTAGGCCACTCTGTGGTAGCATACCCCCCACCAGAAAAGTTACACAATATACTGTTCAAACATAAATCTAAAAGCAATCAATGTGTCAGAAAACTTGCAAAATGGATATTGTTCAGCTGTAGTTGAGTCTATCTTTATGTCAAGTTGGCACTTAAACCTGCTCAGACAGTTACTAATGGACACTGTCTTAATGCTTATTATTATTATCAACTATCAAATTAATAAGGAACTCACACCTATCAACATAATGACATAAGTCTCTTTAAGTTTAAAGTGATAATACATAACTTTCTTGGGGTGGAAGTTCAACTGCATCATTCCATGAAAACAGAAAATTAAAACGATACTTCTGAACTTTCTCCATGGAGATAGTTAATTTTTATGTCATATGCTACATAAAAACATGTTTTTATTTTGATCTGTTAATTGGCAAAAAAGTTACATAATGTGTCTTTAAAGTTAGTATTCAGAAAAGAATATTAGAAGTCTATTTAATGTCCACATAGTCTCTGTGTGTGTATATGTGTGTGCGAGTGGGCTGATCCATCTGTAAACAGGAGGCAGCTGAACCACAGTGAATGCCCAACACCTACAACTTCAGCGTTCAGTGTTATTGCACAACAGTCTGTCACTTTTCACACATCGCTCAAACATACTTAAAGCTGCATGAAGAAAATACATTTAGGCAAGCTCACAAGCAAAAGCAATAGTGGCCAGTATTTTGTTTAAAATCTGTAGCTTAGGCTTAATCATTTTTGCTCTGAGCTATAATTGGATAAATGCATTTCCATAGTTTTTCAATTTATATTAAAACAAATGAGAAAATTAGAAAAAAAGCCTTTACTTTTATTACTCTTAGGTTATTGTTACCTCTCTGCCACTTGATGCATCATATAGACATGTAAAACACATAGAAGCACCCTTTATAATACACAAATCCATCAAATTCATCATTGCAAGCTCAGTAAACCACTAACTATCATGAAGAATCCCATCTAAAATCAAATATACCAAAGGAATTTTAACATTAGAATGCATGTCAAATACAAAACCCTATTGGAACAAATAAATACATATATATATAATAAAATCATATATAATAACAATATAATAAAATCAAGTGAGTGACCAAGGCATTTACAACACTTTCTTGTGTATTAAAATCACTGATAATTAAGACTAATTCACAAAATGGGAGAACAGATGATCTTCTGTTGAATAGTGATCTCATTCCCATGGCGATATGTTATTTTAATTAAATCGCCATATTGTGATTCAGAAGTTTTCTCCTGAATGCAGCTCTATGTTCAAACTAAAACTGTTTTCCCCACCCAGTCCTCTTATTGTTCAGCCACAGCAATGTCCTTGGTGGATTTAACCAATTGCAATGATGTAAACTTTCAGAAGAAGCCTATATAAAGAATGTATAAAGGTAACTTTTACATTAGTTTAGTTTAGTCTTTATTTGAAGGGACAATGTACAGAGACATTAAGATCCAGATTATAGTTAAATAGCTAGTTTCTATTTCCAGTCCCTGATTTACACAAATAAACTATACAGTGCAATTACATTCAGTCAAATACAATTCACACTGTCCACTCTCCGACCCACACACTCACACAATATCACAGATGTAGCCTACAATGCCACCACAAACTTCAAAAAGCATTAGGTACTTACAAAATCATGAGCTTCATATTAAAACATACATATTAAGGTACCATTTCTACATGAATCTTGATCTGTCTTCAAAAAATCATATCATCATATATTTGGCATATTTTCATCCTAGTCTCAATAAAAAAGTTTAAACTTAAAGGTGCATTGCGTAACTTTACTAGAATAGTTTCTAGTAGAGGATTTGTTTCAATGGAGATGCTACTGCTTTGGGCTGATATGTTCTACTAGAGTATGGGAATAAAAATATATATCTCCATGGAGACGTCACCACAAGTTACTGCAAATCTGCAAAGAGGCAACCCCAGTAACAGTTTTTTTCAATTAAGGCTACGTTTATGTGATGACGGTCTGAACAGAAGACACAAAAGTGGCATCCCGTATTCACTTTATATTCCGTGTTTAGACGAACATTTTTTTGGGAGGAAATCTGCGTGCATACTGTGACGCAAAAGTGTGTGGAATTCAACTGGGTGTGTATGCCAGGCGGCTAGGTGGTACTGTGATACACTATCACGTCGCATACACAACGTGAGCAGATCTGACCAGACTTTTGCGTCCTGGGCACTGTAAACAGAAACACTACATAGAGTGTATTCAACTTTTACACTCTGAAGGGTGGTCTCAGATTTTTGCATTTTTAGTCCCCAAAAACAGCGTCACTGTCTAAACAAAAGGCACTTCTGATAAAATATTTTGTCGTTTTTACCCACAAGCGCCGTCATGTAATCAGGCCCTAAAAGATCCATAATGTACTAAATGCTACATAGATGTTTAATGCTACAGTATACTATGTCACATTCTAGGCAAAGCAATAAAATATTCATGCAGACAAGCAGGTGACAGACCAGAAAAGTTTCGCAGTGCACCTTTAAAAAACAACAAGTCCCTGCAGTTTGATATCGTCTTTGAATTTCATGAGTTCCATAAAAACGCATTTGTATTCAGTAATAGGGACAGTTAAGGACTCTACCCTCTCGGGAGGTTCACTGTGTTCTGAAGCTGACACACTGCTGTTAACTGTGCAGTACTTTGTTATTGTTCTGGTCCACTTTTTGAAACTTGCACAACTTTTCTCTGAAGTCAAAGCACACTGCAGTTCAAAGAAATCATCAAAAAAAGTGAGGATCACAACAAAATGTCCCCACATAAATAAATAAATGCTTTGCGGTTGTTTTCATGTCAGCTCTGTGAGATTTTAATTTCCTAAACATAAATAATACAGACTTACAGTAGCTTAACTTTATTGTCCACCATAGTTGAATTTTGTCTTTGGTTTACCATCACATGAACACATCACTCATAAAACTTTTACAGTTCAATAAATAAGTTATAAAATATTCACTGCATATAAAAGGAGTGTGCTGCATGTCCAAACTTGACACGATCCAACCACAGCTGCTAATTTGTAGCATATGTGTTTTACAAATGCAGAAGATATCTCCTCTCCAGTATTATTGTATCATTTAGAAAAAAATCTAAAACTCCTTATACCAAAGAGTTTGGGGGCTTTGGTTGTTGATTATGTAAAACTCTGCACTGTTTCTTAGCGCTTTATGTTTTTTACGTGGAAGCAGCCCAGTTTGTTTTTGATTCAAATTGAGCATGCGTCTCTCTGACTGGTTAATCCATCTGTCAATCACACCCTCTGAAATTAGGGAGACAGGATACAGCTTCAGATCTCATCTTTGTGAAGTTTTGTCAAAGCATCTGGTTGTGGTTGGCCAGGTAACTCCACAAACACACATACATTTCACCAGTGCTTATTTAACACTTGGCACAAATTAACCTTTGTACACCTTCTTTGTTACTAAATGCATTCTGTACCAGCGTCCTCATTATCTTAAATAAATGCCTGCCATTTATCACAAAAAATATTCCAATTTATTCTTCCAAAGTGTGAACTCTGCTCCAAACCACATGCTTTTATTGACTCTGGACCTCTTGATTAAAAAGACGCTTTCACGTTATTGATGAAATGACTGAATCTTGAACTTACACATCTCTATGGGAAGTAACATTTTACAATAAATTATAACGCTAAACACTAAACAAAAGTCATATTTATGCATGTCTTGAGTAAATGCATCACAGAAAACACTGTAATAATTCTGTGTACCATAAATATGATTGTAGTCTATATCTCCACTATGCATTTGGGTAGATAGATTTTTTGTACTTTTATATTGTCTTGTTACAGTTTTGATTTCCTTAAAATATATACCTGTTTGTCACTGCAAACTTGCCCATTATTTTGTATCAAGAGCTGCCGTCAGTACATTTCTCCATGAGATCATAAAATTATCTTCAGTACAAGTGACAATGATTTGCAAAATTTGAACTAAGTCTCAGCCATTTCTCCCAGAATTTAATTCAAAACAATATTAAATTGGTCTCTAAATGATGCTCAATTTGACACAAGATTTTCACAAATATGTAAGAACTGGAAGACAGAAAGTAAAAAAAGAAAATGACTGACTTGGTGAGGAGGAAAATACACCAGATTTGTGGTTGCTCCTGTAGCCTTGTCGACTGTGTCCAGAGTATGAAAATGTTGGGATAATAATGAGGTCAAATCAGGCCTTAAATACATGAAACATTTTAGATATTGGGACAAATTCAATAATAAACTTTTGCGTCACAGCAAAAGGCAACAGGCTCTTGAACTGTGATGTGACTGGAGATTACTAACAGGTGAGTACAAAGAGAGGGGTGGGGTTAAAAGGGGTCTGTGCTCTGGGATTGGTTTCTTAGTAATGTCAATCAGCTAATAACATGAGCATGTTAAGTATTTGCTGTTAGATTTCAACAAGCAGTTAACAATCTTTTTCATCTATATGAAGAACTAAACACTTACATTTTAGTGGCAACTTAGGTCTCATCTACTAAATATAATGTAAACAGTGCCAAAAGTGTGAAAACATACACCCACATTTGGGAGTTATTTCTAACAGTGATGTACACTTCGTAAGGATGAAAAGATTTATAACTTTAAAACATACATATTGAGAGAGTGGCTGGAACATTGTAAATAAAAATATGACATTAATATTATGCTATTTTTATATACGCTATCTATTCCACCTTGTGATGTCATGTGGCAATAAAGGAAGTGCTCCACTGTGTTTTTAAACTCCTTACACCTTCACTAGAATCATATAGATTTCAGATGGTTTCAGCCATGTACTGAACAAAAGTCAAAAGATAATTGTTAACTTGAAAACTACCACTACATGTCATCACAAGGTAGAGCAGAGTGTTTTGAGATTTGGAGATGTAGACAGACTAATAATGCATGATTACTCATGTCCGAACAAAACATGAGTTTTTGAGGAGATAACAACATTCTAACATGCAAATTATGATTTCAAAATATTGTAAAACTCGATTAATGACATTTGAGTAGTTTATTGTCTTATTTGACTAAATTTCACTAACATATATACAGTTTTCATTTAAAATATCATTCAATTCTATTTTATTTTATTTTAAACTTGCTTTAGTACATGGGTAACCAGTTTTCACGCAATAGTTAAACAAACCTATGAATCCTTATTTATTTCCTTCACAGTGTCTCCTCTTTTTCAAGTATTTGTTTGTCCTTAAAAGTTACTCTTTTATGCACTGAACTATTGCCGGTTTTAAAATGCCTTATCACTTCCACCCAGAGCCCCACTACTGTGTTTATTGAATGTGGCAGCGACCGTCCAATCCTTAACAAAACCCTAAATTATCCATTACTGTCGTATCTCCTAGAAAATTCAGACCCAGAATAGGCTCTCCAGTTCAAAAGGGTGATTTCTATGCACAATAATTATAAAGGCTTGAACACAATATTGCAAATGAGCGTGAATTGCAGGGGACATTGACAATCAGTGTTGGCTTTCACTGGCATAGCGTTGCTCTATTCAAATGGAAGCACCTGTTTCTGTACACTCCAGTGCTGTTGCCCTATCATTAGGCCTGACAAGGGAAGCTCTAAATCACAGGTTCACACTGCCCTGCTCCATTACCCTGTGCTGATAAATACTCACAAATCTGGCAACACAGTAAAAGCAAGTGGAGAGAGGTTTTTAATATGAGCTGACCGAACAGAAATAAGCAAAGAAGTAAATTTTAAGGTACAGTACATTAAAGTTAAAGATGTGCTATGTAACTTTTCCGGTGAGTGATCTACTACTTTCTGGTCACCATGGAGATGTTCTTGCTTTTTTCAAGAATGGTCCACAGCATGACATTAAACTAAATGTTAAAGAAATTGCACTGCAGTGCTGTACCAAGTACACTCAATGCCACCTCAGTCCTTGTTATCTTGAACCTGTTATCACTGGTATAATACTCCCTACAACGGAAGCATACCTAGAGCCTCGACCAGACTGTGACTCGACTGGACTAGACTGAAATGGATAATTCCTCCTGCATTAGAACTCCACCATCATCCCTCTTCTCTTCAACTGTTTGACTACTTCAATTTATTCTACAACACAAATCTGTCTTGCATTTATTCCATAACATGTGCTTTTATTGCTAAAAGGATACCTTATGTTAAGGGATAACTTGAAAAACATCTGTCTTACAGAGAGCTGGATCACCTCACCAGATCTGACCTGTAACTTTGTCTGTTGGTAACAATAGCTTGTCTCCATGTATAAAGCTATACTGTGAAACATTCAGGCAAAAATAATAACATCAATATCATCAACATGTAGATGGCAGAACTTCAACCTGAAAAGTGCTGTGCACTTTTAATGTAGGTAATGCACTATCATTTGATTTGAAACAGATCCAATGATGGCGGATGGCTGGTTTGCTGTGGTGCAGTAGAAATTTTTTTGTAAAAGACAGATGTTTGGAGATAATGATGAGGATGAAGTACATCACTGCTCATGCTAGATGTTTGGGAGAAGGGACATGTATATATTGATCACCTTGTGGATCAATAAAGTTTGTCCAAGTCTAAGGATGGTCGTAGCTGGCTTTTTCTTTCACTTCCCAACAAGAGGGACCCAGGTTCAATTTTTCAGTTGTGCAAGTTTACATATTTCCCCAGTCTCAAGCTGAGGGATGCCAAATAGGCTAATACCCCTCAGAGCAAAAGATCTGTAGACTTGGAGTAGGTCTTGTGAAAAAACTAAAAACTGTCAAACTGAGTTAGAACAATATATAAAGTCAGTACTCTAAGACTAAAATTAAGAATGATTTTTATGGTGCACTATGCTGAATTGTTTTGATCTGCAAGTTGATGCAATTATAGTGAGTAATTATTAAAACTATTGTTGAAAACAACTTAAAGGTGCAGTAAGTAACAATAAACACAATCAAAATGAAAAAGTTACACACTGTGGCTTTAAGTAGCTTGAAAGATTTGACCTCACAAAAATATTTAAATCCATCCACACATGCCACAGTGACGCACGCAGGAGATAAAAACATGCATGTATTACATAAGTTGCAGCACAAATAGTTCTGGTTTCATTTATGTTCCTGTGAGCTAAAATTGTTTCACCACTAACATTTCTGACATGATACAATTACTGTCATTATAAGGACAAAGATGCAGCCACATAAACTGCCACAGTAGCGTCATACTTATTTTGTGGGTTACATTTTCCATTGTATTTTGAAAAACACCAGTTTACTTCCAAACCAAAGTCAAATCTCTTGGATCTATAAAGCTATCATGGGCAAAACTTGAATGCAATTACACTGCCTGGCTCCTATTCGACGACTCTGAAAATATAATTAAAACTTAAATATTGCTGGAGTTATTTATTGTGGCTTGACCTTAATGCCCTGCCACAAAAACACAACAAGAATGGTGCCAACAATAGTTTTCCTCATCTACAGTCTATTCACTAAGCACTGGTTGCAGTTTTTCTTCAATGACTTCAAGCTAAATAGATCTAAATTGATTTAAAAATGAAAATGGCAATAGTGAAAATATATACCACTGTGTTGAATGGATCATAAAAACATATTTTAAAAATCTTTCAAGATTAGACATACGATTTTTAATGAAACAAGCAAAATACCCAATTCTTTAACACACGGTTACAGTTGTCTTAGTTTGGATCATTAATAAAAATCACATGATGTTTCTTTGAATTAGTAATATTCTATTCCTATAGTATATAAAGAATACTTGGCTATTATCACATGTTGTTACTGCAATAGTAGTGGGGCACTATATGGCTGGAAAACTCATTTTGAAGTCACTATAGAAAACAGTGGGAGAGCTATATAGTTTTGTGGGAGTACTTATTAAGAAAAGGCTGTCAATCCATGATCTACACTATGTGCCAGTCCCCTCTGAAGTGGTAATGAGAATATTAAAATACTTTTCAAAATCTGAATTTTAAGCTGCAACATGATATACAAATACAAACTATAAAGTATGAGTAGAACAACAGTGGCAACACCACTGTCGCTGGACTGGCTTGTTTAGGTCAGTTGTGCTAATCCAAATGAGATTATATGTGGCTGGTTCAGTGACTGGTACTGCCCTTTGAAAACAGACCTAATTAACACTAACTATTCCAGCAATTTGGACTGGATTCTTACAGAAACAGTCAACAATAACACAACATTATCAAAACATCACATGCAACTTGTAGTCTTAAAGCTTGTCTGTGTAGTATGGGGAATGCTCCAATGGTTACAAATGAGACAAGCAGCTAAGAATAGGCAATGTTACAGATCAGATCTGTGGAGAGATGAGCTTGCTTACAGTAAAAATATACATTTTCATTGCATTATTTCATTGCTTTACCTTTAACACCTATAATTCAATAAAATATAGATGATGGCATACTTTGGAACATTCCAGGCTAAGCAATAAAATCTCCATGGAGACAAGCATTAGACAGATGCCAGCAATTTACCTACAGCACCTTTAAAAAAACATGAACCAAGAACCCAACCAGGTATGTTTTACATGAAGAATATTACAACAAAATCAGATTACATTCACTCAAATGTAGAATAATATTGCACTTTTCAACTGAACTATCTTTGACTATGGCCACATGTGGCTGTTTGAACTAGAAAATAGCTTCTCTGTCAGTTCACAATAACTATCTTGCAGAATTATTCCCAAGATCAAAGATTTTACGCAGTTATCTAATCTACTATTCCAAAAGCAACAATAATTTCCTGCGATCTGCATAAGACAGTATCATGATGATAATACTGTATATAAAATCAACTTCAAACATGTTCAAACTAGGGAGATTGCCGAACAACTGCCAGCAAACCTCTGATATTTTTCTGTTTTAAGCACACTGATCACTTCAGTCTTGATCTAATTTCATTAAAAACTATTTCAATGCAATGCATTTTTATCAAAACTACCATGGCAAACAGATAATAATAACTATGTCAACTATGTGATGAAGTCCTTCAGCATTATTAAATCAGGCCAGATAAACCATGATACCAAAATACGCAGAACCACAACTAATAATATTTTATGAGTAAAACCAACTTTCAAATTTCAAAAATACAACCAACCAAATGCAGAAGTTACAAAAATCATGTTCAAAATGTAATTGTAACTCACCTCAAGTTGATGTTGTTTCTAAATACTGCCTAAAACAACCAGAAATGTGGGCATCTTACCTCAGTTAATAAACACGTGTAAGTAAAAAAAAATCCATCAGAGTAAGATAACTTTCTACC